AAACGTGAAAAATGTACTTACCTACACCCCATGTTTAGGGTGGAGTCAGAGGTCTTTAAGCGAGATCCTGGTAAAGCTGAGCATCTCAGATCTTACAAGAAGACATTCCTGCACTGTCCTGGACAATCTTCTTGTGAGATTAGGGATCCTCAGCTTTCCCAGGATCCTGAGAGTAGGCCCAGGCATGTTATCCTCACTAAGTGCTACAGGCAGATGCCGGAGATGCCGGTAAGTATTTTTTTTTTTTCAACTTTCTCCTAAAGCTTAGCTTAATTCTTTTTACATGGGAAAGGGTGTCTATGCAAGGTCTACTTTAAATAATTTAACTTTTTTAGATTTTCTTCTCTTATAACATGTGTACTCTGCTCTGTCATAGTGTTCTACCATTAAATAGCCACTTAGACAATAGCTACATCTGCCATCTTTATAAATGTTTACAATGGACTTGCTGTTTGTGACATGAGAATTGGTGTGTGAATTATTGATGGTTGAATACACTAAATTCACTTACAGTGATGAGCTTTTTGGCATAATATTCACACTGGCTGCCAGTTTCTTCTCCAGAATGCCCCTAAGGAAATTAGAAAAATTGAAGAATTGTATTGCTATAGTCATACTTCATGTATTTTCCTGATCTACGATGCAATGGTCTATAAAAAGTTATAAAAGTAAGACTCCCCGTAAACTCCTTTTCTCTGCGTTCATTGAAGGACACAGCAGAAAGATTGAAGATCTGAAGCCACTGGGTTATAGCGTCACCTGCAGGAGAAGGATGCTAGACACAAAACAAAAAAACAGGCTAGGGGCAGCCTCTGCTGGTGGCCAATTCCCTACCTGCTGACCAGCCTCCCGTGAGTAACAAGAAGTAAGGAGAAAACTTCTCCACACACATAGGGTTGGTGCTGTGTTCTTTCAATGACCGCAGAGAAAAGGATGAGTACAAAAATCTTATTTTCTCTACCGTTCATTGAAGGACACAGCAAAGAGATCGAAGATCTGGAACCACAGGGATCTGGCAGAGTAGTACAAAATGAGGGGTGAGACTCGGCTTGCAACAGAATATCGCCCATGTGACGCAATAATGCCAGCTATACGCCCCCCGAGCACCCCATAAGGCAATGCGCCTTCTGAAGCCCTAATTGGCTAAAGTCTTGCACCTGACCAGACATGATGTGTTTTTTGGTAATAAAGGACTCCTCAAAAGGTGTAATGAACAGAAAAACATTTAGGCACTGAGAAGAACTTGGTGGGACGCTGCCACTCCTTCTAGATAAAATCATCAAAGTAGGAGATGTGCGTAAAAATGCTGAAGCTTATGTGTCCCAAATTAAACAGGAGGCACGCAAGAAGAGCTGGGAACATCCTCAATTTTCAGCGTTTCCCTACCGAACGGATAAGGGCAGTTACCAACTCCTGCTCCTAAATAATGAGCAACGCCAACATCTCATCCTCACTGCCAGACCTATCTGGCATGGAATCCACAGAAGCAAGTTGGTCCAACGCCACCGAGACCTCCTCCATCATTTTGGACTCCTCTGAGGGAGCAGGAGAGGTGACGGAAGCGGACACTTTTTCACGGACTTCTGAGACAAGGTGCGTTCAATGTGTGAAACAATACCATCCCTGGCATACGCAAACGCCTCAAAAGAAAGTGCAATACCTGCCATACTAGCAGTCCCAAAAGCGGAGCTGAAGGTGCTACAGGCGACTGGGACAGCGACGCAGGCATACAGGTAGCACATAGGGGGAGTGGGAAGAATCCACACAGGAAAGCCCGCACCCCTCACAGACCACCACCGGAACCTTCTCTCTGCATTCCATGACAGCAGCCGCCCTCCTAGACTGCAGGGGGAAGTGACCCAGAGTACTCACGGCCCCAGAAATGGCTCTCTGCACGTGTCCCTCCAGGTAGCAGTGCCAAGTTGTACCCAGATAAACATCCACGAGGCAAAAGGAATGGTCCTTCTGTTCCTAGAGAGATCCTCCACCTCAGCACGTGGGCGGGAGTGATGAGCCCCCAGCAAAGGGCGACAGCCCAAAACAAAGATGGTGGCTGCTCCTCCCTTCTCCCGAATGCAGCCATGGACTAAGTTAGTGTATTCGTCTGCAGTTAGAGTGGCGCGGACCCAGCACGCAGACATGACCGCGGTGCAGACAGTGCGGAGCACTGTGGTCCGAAGGCAGCCTGGACCCCCAACAAGGCCTCCAGCACAACTTGCCCCCCGCAGGGGGAAGACCCACTAAACAATTGCAGAAAACAAGGAAAAAAGAATCCTAGTGAAGATTTGTAGGTCCTGACGCTAGGCATAAAATTGGAGGCTGGTCAGCAGCTGGGTGGTTGGCCACCAGCAAAAGCTGCCCGTAGGCTTTTTTCTTGTTTTGTGCCTAGCGTCCATCTCCTGCACGTGGCGCAATAACCCTGTGGTTCCAGATCCTCAATCTCTTCCCTTCAGTGAATGGAAGAGAAACATGGATTTCCCTTGTGCTGGCCATTGCCGCACAAACAGTGTGGATTAAGCTGCTGCCTCTGTTGCCCAACCCTTTACCTCTCTGTGTGGCATTTCATTTTATCCTTGGGTAAATAACTCACTAGCTCACCCTCGACATGAACAAATGAGCTTCACTAAAGTTATCAATAAGTCTATCATTTTTATGAGCACATACATACTGCTTTTCTGGAATATCAGATTTATTAGTGAAATTCCAGGCTTCATTAACTCATATAGAAGTCATTAAAATGGTATTCTGATATAACACTCTATTTACCTATGTAACTGCTGCTAGCCCAATCTACCTAGTGGCCAATTACCAGCCAAGTTCTCCGGATATGTATTTTCTGTGTTATTTTACCTGGCAATGTCTTTAGCGATCTGGTCATTTGGACAGTTGATGAACGCCAGTGAGTGAGAACCAGAGATGTATCCTCCTGTCACTGCAGCATGAATTTGGCACAATATGCTCTTAAATACTGGAAACAACAAACATGAGCCAGTCATTAGCTGCAAAATAAACACAAAGATTACCATGTTAATGGAAGTGGTACAATGAAAAGTAATATTTTCCCACACACAGCTGAATTATTCTCCAGTAGCACAAGAATACTGCCTACTGTGATCCTTCCGTAATCTGAAATGGCAGCTAACATAGATCACACATCAGTTGCTTAAACAGCAAATATTTTATACACAGCTTTTAAAGGACTTTTACATACCCGTGAACAGTATTAATGGCATGTTCATATAAAATGTGTTTTAGGATTACACCTATTTAGTATTTACACCTGAATTTGCCATCTCATCTATTTGTTACAGATGCCTGCTACTCTTTAGGTTAAATTAACCCTTTATTAGAAAGCTGAGACTTGAGTAATCCAGGGACACTTTTTTGCTGTGCATCCAGAAAGCCATTATAGGTAGAGACTGTACTTTAAATAGGGACGGTCATTCATATAAAATGGGTGTGGCTTTACAAGAGGCAACCTATTGTAGGATTTACTTTTAAATACTGTACAGTCAGGGCTGGATTTCCCACAAGGCCAACTTGGGGCAGCAGGGAGTAGGTGTCTGGAATTTCTATCTCCCGATGTCCGGGTGGGTAGTTGTTTTCCACATTTAGCCCTGCTTTGGGCAAGCAGAGCTAAATGTAGAGCGGTGAAACCACTGTGTGTTTTGTACAAGTGATCTTGGCGACATTGTATGCAGCCTACAGGTCTGCCGTTCTCCATGGAGGAGGAGGGGGGGTTGGCGCGTAGGGGGGCGCATTGAGGAACCGGCCTTGGGGCAGCAGAGAGAGTAAATCCGGCTCTGTGTACAGTATATACAGGAAGATTTCCCATAATAAGAACAAGTAGGCTGTACGGGGCCCCCTGATTTCTACAGGTGGCCCTGACAGTGTTGTTGCACAGTCTGAACAGTGTGGACGAGAGCAGCATCTCCCATCAGTTTCTTCACTGCTTCTTCTCCAGCGCCGAACCAGGACCAAGCTTCGCCCCTCTAGGGAGGTACTGTCCCACCCCTCTGCCACAAGGAGATGAATAAGCCACAGAACATGTGTATCAATGAAAAGCATGATTTGCATATGCATTATTTATATGTAAATCCTGTGGATCATTGATATAATCCAGTTGCTCAATCGTATGCAAATCATATGCAGCTCATTCCCGAGACACAACCCTGTGGTGTGACCGAGTGGATAAAAAGCAGGACTGTCCTGGTAAATCCAGGAGAGCTGGTAAGTATTCATATTCTGGAGCACAAATACCTGTGCTTGGGATTTCAGTGCATTAGATGCAGCATTGGGAACTCACTACAGAAAGTTAGGAGTTCACTAGATTTCTGGCAGATCAACAGGTATTTTTCTGTACTTACAATGTTTTTAGACAGACAAGGTGTGGGGGCATGCGCATGCATTGCAGAGATGTATTGGATATGTTTTTTGCATTATGCCTAGACATGCACTAAAATATAACTCAACAAATGTACCCTTGAATTAGTACTGATGGCTTGTCTGTATGTTTCTATCTGAAATGGAAGTGTGACCAAAGAAAAAGCAAAGGCATATTATTTTCCTAAAATATTTCGGTGTGGAGGCGTGAACATCTTTCCAATCTGAAAATTACTTGGGAACATACTATACTTTATTACTTGCTTGGGAACATACTATACTGTATTACCTTGTTGATGTTGTTTTGGGGATTGCAGGATTTCTACCCCAGGAAATATCTTTTGTACTATAAGACTTGAATGTTCACTCTCACACAAGTCACATGCAGTGGGTGTCCGCCTCACTAAATTATTCACTGTAATCTACTGTGTTTCCATGTGAATAATGCAGAGTAAAACGAACAGGTGACTATGTTACTGGCATCCATTGTAATATTGGCATAATGCCATGTTTGAGGCAGAATGGAAATTGTTGTTTTGTTGGTGACCTATGCGTAAAGTGCTGAGTGTGCTAGTACAAACATCCAGGTACATTGAAATTCACTCCATCTCGTCTGGGGCATTATCCTACAGGTGGGAGAGGAGAATCCCTGGGTGGGCACCTGAGTTTACCCCCTAAAAATTCAATAAATGTACCTGAAGGGGGGGTCTATTATGTTTAGTTGAATTTGCACCTATAATTTGCTGTCAATGTCATGCCTGCCTCTCTGCACTGATTGTCCCCCCCCCCAGGGTTCCCTGCCACATAATTTCCATCAATTAGGAGTGCACTGGTTTTCTAAAAGTCACTAATTTGATTGACAGCTGCCTAGCTGCAACCTACCCTCTATCTTCCACTGCACCCACATCCCCCGCTGCTAAGCAGAGACATCAGTTGCTTAGACCAATTTTGGACAACCTAATCTCCTCCTTCTATCAGTAGCCTCCACAGCTCCAATATAAAGTAATCTGCCATGTGTGCCTAGGGAGCTCCTGGAGACCGAACTGCTGAGCTGGCTAGCTGTGTGGGCTGGGTGTCCAGTAAGGAAAATATATGTGCCACCGGGCTGGGTGGCCACCTTCTTCAGTAAGTGAACAAACAAAAGCCTAAACTACGCTGCCTGCATAACTGCCTAATTACCGTGTTTCCCCGAAAATAAGACACTGTCTTATATTTTATTTGGCTCAAAAAAACACACTAGGTCTTATTTTTGGGGTAGGTCTTATTTTTTTTTATGTACAACAATCAACTCTTATTCATGTAGAGAAGTCTACATGTATTCATGTACAAAAATATGGTGAGCAGGGCAATCAGGGGTGCCGTACCTTTCCAAGAGCAATTTGCTAACCAATTGCTGGCCAGAATGAGCAAAGCGCACTTTCACTATTGGATTCTCACAGGCGGAGTGCATTTGGTATCACTCCGCCTGTGACAGGAGTCGGCGCTATAGAGGAGGCATCGGCTTATGCGGCTCTGCTCCCTTCGGTGCCGCCTCGCTTCCTCTAGCACTGGCTTCGTTGGCACCACTGATTCTCTCCTGCGGCTCTTCAAGTTCCCCCTTATGCCACCACCGGCCCAGGGAATGGTCACAACTAGGTCTTATTTTCGGGGTAGGTCTTATATTTCAGCAATTCCCAAATATAGTACTAGGTCTTATTTTCAGGGTAGGTCTTATTTTCGGGGAAACAGGGTACAATAAAAATGTACATCTGAATCAGGGGGCACAGGGAGAGCGGTATATTTTTTGTAGATGGTCTGTTTGGTTTGCTGGTTATGAACATCTTGTTTTTCAAGAGCACCAGAAAAGCCTCACATAATCTGCATAACTGAATAGAGATTTCAAAGACTATATCCCGGGGCACAGTAGAAAGAGTGTACGTTTTTTTCGGGTGAGTCACTCACTTCTGGACTGGACTGGTGGTGCTGTGTGGGGATACCTGCAGTGACATGCAGTGCACTGCAATAAAACGCAACATGTTTGCATTTTATTGCAGCACACCACTCACTGTGTTGTTTTCCATGTGTCCTTGCACATGACCTGCATTACATACTGGACATCAATATGTGTGAACGGGCCCTGACTTGTGCACTCTACAGAGCTTTATATGGAATTTGTATTGCCCACAGAGCCAGGACCCACAATAATGTCATGCCCGTAAAAAAAAAAAAGTTTCAGCGCTACACTTGGCGGCTGAACATGTTATGCACCAGAACAGGTGGAAAGTGTTGCCTGTTCAATAGACTAACATTCCTTTTTATAAATGTAGCTATTTCATGTAATTTTTTTTTCTCCCTAGGTAAGACAACATTATTGATGTACTTCAGCCAGCCTAGCAGCCTTGACCAATTCCTGAGGCCATCCTCAAGTCAATGGTCAAAAAGCAAGCTATAATACAGTGATGTCCTTCAGCAGCACTGCCCCTTTCCTGATGCCATGACAAAGTCTGCATACACCGAAGCAGGATTAACCCCTTCGTCAGGAAAAATTATGCCTGCAAAAACAGTCAACTATTTTAAACTATGTACAATCTGCAATTTCAAGTTTGTCTGTCACTTAGCAGGTGACTGAACAGGCAGGTTCACAGGAAACTGTAGATGATGACATAGAGGCATTCTGAATGTAACCAACCTATTAGTTCATTTTAAGATATGCCTTCAAAAACTGTAGAAAATGTTATCTGGTCAGATATGCCTTCGTTATTGCAATAAACAGTGCTTGGTCATATTTGTCTGATGATGAAAATGAATAACTTACTGTTACCCAGTGGCGTCACAAAGGGGGTGCAGGCCGCACCCGGATGGCACCATTGGAGGGGTGACACCAAAATGAGTGACAGTCATTTTGGTGTCACCCCCCTCTTAAAGGGCGGGCGCTCGGTCATGGACCGAACGCCGACAGTATCAGAGAGAGAGGAGGGGACCCGGCGGCATACCTTATCCCGCCGGGTGACTGTCCCCTCCTCTCTCTGCCAGCATCCATCACCAATATGGCCGCCAGCAGGTATCAGAAGATCACCGCGCGTGCACGATGACATAATCGCGCACGCGCGGGTGTCACCCAGTCTCGGGACGCCCCTGCTGTTACCAAAACAAATTTGTCAATAAATTGTACAATAGTTGTACACCTGAATATCTGCTAGCCATTATTTTTCTTAGACTTCTACTTTCAGAGCTAGTTATTACTTAAGAGAGAAGTATGGGGTAAGTGTTTTTCCCCATAGTTCTCTTTACTGTCATGGTAGGACATATACTAACCTCCTCCCGTGATCCAAAGCTCAGTATATAGTGAGCTATTGCCCGCCGCGATATACTGAAAGCGTCGCAGCCGAGACGGATCCCGACAATACTGTCAAGATCCACCCAGCTGCATGAGTGACAGCTGGCTCTGCCTATCTACAGGAAGAGCCAGCTGTGTCCACCCCCAACCCTGTTCGTTCCTCAACAGAGCGCTGGAAACTGTGACAGTTTCTTTGTCACAGGTCGGCTCTAACACATAGTTCTCCTTTAACTTACTACCAAAACCAGTAATAATTGAATGCAGAGGCAATTATTTAATATGATAAAGAGTAGATACATTTATATAGTCTTACAGATACAACCGGCCCTTTGAGGGCAACCATAATGCTGATGCGGCCCGCATCAGTTTGATACCCCTGCTCTAAAGATTAGCAGCTGAGAGCTTTTTTGGGTAATGCTGAGAATTATTTATGTAAGCAAGCTTAAAGTGACATTCAAGGATAAAGGATATCCCCCCATGTTAGTGTAAGGACTTACCTTAAATGATGCCTCTTGATCCGATCATCTTCTTCTTTACTGTAGTTTTCAGGAGTCCCTCAAGCGCTGGTGCGGGTCTCCGATCCAGCATTGACTCCTCTGTGCTAGATGGCACTTCCTGTCCCACGGTGTCTGCATGCGGGTGCACGCTGCTCCATAGACTTACCTTGTGTCTCTCCTTGTCTCCCGGCCAAAGATCTGAACGGCGCATGAGCCCACCCCAAGATCTTTTGCAGCCGCCCGAGACTCTTCAGATGTTCAGACGGGAGCATGCGGCAGAGACACAGATAAGTTTTAATCTGTTTGAAAAGATTTTTTTTTTAAATGTTTTTGCAAAAAATGCTGAGGGTTTAATAACCCTTTAATATTTTAAAATGAAAACCTGCTGGTGCTTCTGGTGCATTTAGAAAAATGTTTTTCACATAATATGTTAAATCTTATACAACAGAATGTTGCTTATTACAAATACTGTACACAGCACAAGCTATCCTATGAACAAGCCAACGTTTGCATTTGAAAGCTATGCTTCTATAACCTACAGGTGTCTTTTTCTATAGCTGTCGCTGCTGTGTTGTTTTGTCAGTGGGGTAATACTTTCTGAATAGTAAAAGCTGAAACAGCAGAAGCCCCTGATACCCCCCTTCCAAAAATGTTATCAAAACTTTCCATCCTTCTTTATAACTGTATTAAACATGAAAATATGCAGAGAATGTAATAACCCAGTGCTTATTGATTGAAGTCAGTACTGTCAGAGGAGGTTAATATCCAGCAAAACACAGCACTGTAATTAAGTTAATTTAACCCTTGTGTGTGCACATTTGAAGCAAGAGATAACTCCCTGCAGCAAGAAATAACTCCATAATGATAAGTGCCCACTGCAGGGTCGCATTAGGACACTAGATGCCCCCTGCCACCCATCAGCAAGAATTTCTTCATGATCATTCTCCTTATTAATGATTTATACAATACAGACAGCGTGAAAGTACCATTCCTGGCAAAGGGACTAAAGTATGAAAAAGTTTTCATTTTAAATCTGTTGAATCAATGGCATCAATGTATGGTCACTTCTGCGTTTATCATGTCCAAACAGTATAGCACTCTGACATTTCTGATCTGAGACATGAAGAAAAAAATATTGCACTCACCAGCAGCACCGTCATCCAGCCTGGGCGATGCCAGTTCTGGGGAGGTAACTGGCACCAGCACCCCATCATCCTATGCCGTCGCCTGCCACGAGTTCCCTCATGACCTAGGATGGTGGTGGGAAAGGGGAGGAGGGAGGTGAGTCCTGTGTGCCAGTCTGAGCATAAGCTTGGTCTGTGCCTGTGAAATATGTGAGTCCTCCCCTCTCTCTCTCTGTTTCTCTCTCTCCATCTCTATTTCTGTCTCTCTCTTATTCCATCCCCCATCTCTTTTTCCCTTCCTTCTCTAAGCCTTATTTACTTAAAGTGGAACACCAGTTAAAATGTGTTTTTCATTTTGGATGGAATGGGAAAAGGGTTAGAAACTCTGACAGGTTTTTTCTGCTTTCAATGTCCTCATTGGGGATTTTCCCCCTCTTTTCTTGTGCGGCCACTCGAACAGGAAGAGAGCAGAATCATTGCAATGGAGATCATTAAGGGGGAGCCTGACAATGTTCATCCTAACCCACTTTTTCCTCACCAGGTCCATAAATAAATACCATTCTTCACTGCCTTGCCCCGTAATTACATAACCACTATCCTGTGACACCTAATTATTCATATAGTGGTCTGGGGGACTGCCTGCAAAAGGGTTAAACAGGAGCTTGGTGAAATCTGAGTCTTGGCTAATGTTGCTCGCTTCCTAAATTAAAAGAGCTTAATGTAACAAATAACTGTGTTATATGGAGCAAAGACTAGACCTGTCTATTGATCTATCTGGCCATCCATCTAATTGATATGTATGTTGAGCTCTATGGGATTCTTTAATGTAATTCTCTTCTATTCTATGACATCATACGCTGAGCTTGTGGGAATAGAGTACGGTTTAGTTTGTGCTGCCTTGCAGTGTTTTCTGCTGGGTGGAGAGCGTAATCCTGTGACTGGTGAGATGTGTAGAAGGTGAAAATCTCCTCAGAACATGTGACTGGTGGATAAAGAAGCCATTCAGCATGGCAGAGCAGTTAGAGCCTGGCACCGTGTGTGCAATTAATGCTTTGTACAGACTTCCTTTCCATTTTCCCATTTGCTACAAATAGTTCTCTGTATGCCTGACCACCACCACAGGCCTGTCCATTCTGTGTCCCGAGGGGCACTTGCAGGGTAACAGTCCATCTCAGAATGAAATAAAATACTGTATGGAAACTGTAGGGAAGAAAGGAGCATGGTGGACAACCTTCTAAGGCTGAAAACATGGACGCTTTTCTTCACCAATGTTTTTGGGTGCAACTGCTGGCCCCACTCCAGGTCATTCCTTTATCGTAGCCAGAGAGAAACGGTCAATGTTTGCTGTACAGAAGGCAGAGATTTGTACTTACCACCTTTCTGAGATAGGAAACAAGAACACATATTAGTGCTGCTATCTGCAGCACTCCTGATCATCTGAAGAGGTATGCTGCATACCTAACGATGATGACGTCTGACTATGTGTAAGGTACAACTTCAGCTGTATTTTGGGTCAGAAAAATACATTGAAATGTTCTCTACGGAGATTTAATCAACAAAACTAAAATAAAATAATTCAGATGATTAAAATATGACTAAAACTAAATGCCATTTTAGTTTTAGTTGTATTTAGTTTTAGTCATATTTTAGTCATCTGAATCATTTTTGTTTTGGTTTAATTGATGCAAATTGATATTTAATAGATGTAAATTGTGAGTTTCACACACATTTCATGTCCCCTGGTTGCACCTCAACTGTCCATTATACAGAGGGAAGAACAGAGGCCTTGTGGCCAGTGGCTATAGAAAATGCCACAGTGTAAACAATGTCCCAGGTTTTGTGGGAGTAAAAAATGCCCGGGGTATGGTAAGCTGTGGTAATAAAAAATGGCCTACAGCCTGTGGTTAGTGCAAGGAGGAAAATGCCCCATCTTTGGTTTCATTGGAAGGAATAGTTCCTTGTCACTTGTATCAGTGGAAGGAATAGTGCCATGTCAATTGTGTCAGTGGATAGAATAGTGCTCCCTCGTTGGTATATGTGTAGACATAGTGCCCTATCATTTTTGTTAGTAAGAGGAATAGTAATCTGCCATTGGTATCAGTGGAAGGATTAGTGACACGTCATTAGTGTCAGTTGGGGGAATAGTACATTGTCCTTGGTGTCAGTGGAAAGAATAGTGTCCCTTCTCCAGTGTCAATGGGAGGAAAAGTGTCCCTTCACTGGTGTTAGTGGGAGGAATAGTGTCCCTTCATTAGTGTTAGTGGGAGGGATAATAAGATTCTGTTCTTACCATAAAATCCTTTTATTGGAGTCATTGAGGGCCACAGCTCTGAAGAATTCTAAAATGTAGGGTTATGCTGCTGCCATGCTATCATGATGTGAATGGAAACCAAGAAATCTAGACGAATGGAGACAATAACTGAATGAACATATTCCATTCAACCTTTAGAGTTTCAACATAAGCATTGAGAGCGTTTAAATCCAGGATGGGACAAAACTCCCTTTGGACCTCGGAACATTAAACAGGTAAGGGGACTAGAACGATAACTGCTTTGATGTAACAATCCCTAGACCGCCTGAAAGGTCTGCCTAATGCTGCAGAGACAAGGAAAGGTGAAAGGCAAAAAAAGCTACATTTCTATTTTGTAACTATAAACCACCTTCTGAACCCAAGCATCTGAGATGCTTGCTTGCCAGATCTATCATCTCCGCAAAGGCCATCAGACATCCCCCACGAGAAGAGCAGGCGGAGATTGACCTTCATGCTGAAGCAGACTTATCTGTGGGTTTGGAGTTCGTGGACTGCCAGAGGAGTCTGGACTAGAAGAGGAAGGAAACTTGCTGTCCTGGAAACTAAAACCCTAGTAGCTTACCTAATAATTTTATCCAACAATGCGTTGAAAAAATGGCTCCCACATAGAGCAAACATAAAGTCCCTTCTTATATTGAGGCTTCACCGACTAGCACTTAAGCCAAATGGCTCTTTGACTCGAAACGGAAAGGAATACTCAAACAGGCATCAAGAACTGCATTGCACACATAATGAGACGAAACTGTCATTTGATTGACAGGTAGCTAGTAGAGCCTGGGAAATAACAACTGTGGGGTAGAGAAAAGCGTATCCCGTCAAGAGTAAATGGAGCAAGAAAGAGATTCCAATTTCTTATCAGTAGGGTCTCTAATTGAAAGGGTATCATTAGAGGAATAGTCAAAGCCCTATTAAGGTGAGTCAACCTCAAGGGGAACAGACCATTTATTAAAAACAAAATCATCCGGGAAAGGATAAAGTGACTAAAATCGTTTATCCAATGATTCCAAATCTTTGTATATAAATCTGCCAAAGATGATAAAAAGAAAAATACTATATCAACTCGTGCAGGTTTAAAAAAAACTAAACTAGTTTCAGGGATCTCAACCTGAAAAAAGTGATTTCAGGGAGGTACCCTTCTCATTTCAGGGAGATGCCCTCTGTCTCCTCTCCCCCCATCCGGGGTGGGGGGGAGTACCCCCCTGAAATGATTGCAGTGTCAGGAAACAGGGGGTGTTACCTCTGCTCGGGGGCCACGGGCACGGTGCAGGGCACGGGTTCCCCTCCAGCCTGGTAGAACTCTTGGTGCCCGGGCTGCGGGTGCGCATGTCACTCGGCGGGTGCGCATGTGCAGTACTCAGGCTGCGTGTGCATCCCCGGAAGCGTGCGCGTAGCGCTCCTGCGCCATTAGGGCCATCAGGTGTGGGCCTTGCTGGAGGAGGTTCCCAGCACACACCTTCCATCTCTCTCGCCTGCCATTGGTTCCCGGGGAGGGAGGCCTCCTGGTTGCCTCGGTGACCGGGGGGTGGTCTTACCTCCCCTGGCTATAAAAACCTGGCCAGAGATCTGGCTTATTGCTGAGTTATTACACCTTATGGTGAACACCTAGCCTCCCTGTTGATCCTGTTGCCACTTTCGTTGTACTTCCTGATTACTGAACCCTTGGACAGTCTATCGCCTCTGAACCATCGCTGCCTGCCTCGACCCGGACTGGACTTTGACTACTCTCTTGGATTGCCCCTGAATTGTACTTCGTTTCTGGCTTCCTGCCAGTGGGTTCCTTACCACGCTACTAGTTCGCTGGTACGTAGTGACATGCAGATAGCAAAGAAGCTATTGCTTCCCTTGTTATCTGCAGGTTTTTTTTTTGTATTCTGACAGCTGTTGCCGTCGGAATAAAAAAAAAAAAAACAGCATAGAAATGAACAGCAAGCTGGCTATTGCACCCGCCCTCTGCTACTGTCAATGAGCAGAAGAGGACCTGACAGCAGCAGTGGGCGGGTGCAATAGCTAGTCTGCTATTGGCTATTGCAAATTGAAACAGCCAGTAGCAATCTAACTGTTCATTCCTATGCTGTTTTTTTTCTCTGACTGACGGCAGCCCCGATGTCAGAAAAAAAACCAACAAATAAAAACAGATAGCAGGGAAAGGTTTACTCTGCTAGATCAAGCAGATTAAACCTTTCCGGGAGAAAATGTTTCTCTCCCGGAAGGCCGGGAGCCACTAATAGTGGGAGACTCCCGGAGCGTCCGGGAGAGTTGGGATTACTGTGGTTTCTGCAGAAGTGGTACAAAGTGCAGAATCCTTTAAATTTAAAGCTGAACGCACATCTTCAATTAAAAAAGCCACAGTCACCGTAGGTGACTGAAAATCGGCAGCTGGGGTAACGTCCTCCTCCAAGGACCATAAAGATTCATCTTCTGGAAGGGCTCTAGCTAAACCGGCAATATGATATCCGACATCTCCTCATCCAAAGCTTTAGAAAAGGAAGATTGTGGGTGTTTCTCATCCTTGTTAGGGGAATGAGAAACATTTTTATCTATCCATGATAGACAAAACCTCCATAACTACAGAAAAATCACTTTCTGTGAGAAAGTGGGAGAATTTCTACCTTACAGATAGAACAGAGACCACAGACAACATCGTCAGATGTTCCCGCGCAGATGTCCCTCCACCTGGGGACATATAACAGGTAATGTACCTTTAAATAGCATTTTTTACCTAGAATACTCATGACACTGACTAGTGTGAAGTATCAGGAGAAAAACTCTGCCACTTCTCACAGCCACAGCAGGATAATGTTGCAGAGCCAGTAGGAGATATAGAGCAGAATTAATCTCCAGCTCCTTCTTCCCTCAGAGTTTGTGTCAGCTTCTCACAAAATGTGTGTCTCAGTTTTGTGAAATGATGACGGGAGGAGAGCTGAGGTAACAAATAGAGCTGCAGCTAACGATTATTTTCAAAATCGATTAGTTAGCCGATTATTAAGTTCGATTAATCGGTTAATCGGATAAACAATAAAATACATTTTAAAAAATGGCTCCAGTGATGGGACTACTAGTTTGTATTGAGATTGTAGACCATCACAGGAGCAAGCTTGGAGCGGTGGAAGTAAAAAAGAAAAAAAAAAGTGTTGTGTGCAATATAGTGAAATGGAAAGTGTAAAATTATATAGCAATCAATGCAAAATGGCACCGGCTATAGAGGACTACAAATCCGAGCAATAGTACATTATACAGCACAATGCAGAATATCACCAGCTATATAGGAATACAACAAATCCCAGCAATAGTACATTATAGCTGGCGGTATTCTGCATTGCGCTGTATAATGTGCTGTTGCTGGGTTTTGTAGTCCTCTATAGCTGGTGGTATTCGGCATTGCACCACTGTATAATGTACTATTGCTGGGATTTGTTGTGCTCTTCTATAGCTGGAGGAATTCCGCATGGCGCTGTATAATGTATCATTGCTGGCATTTGTAGTCCTCTATACTGCGCAGTGCAGAATATCACCAACTATAGAGGAGTACAACAAATCCCAGCAATACATTATACATACAGTGTATAATGTATTGCTGGGATTTGTATTCCTATGTATAATATACAGCACAATGTACCATCAGCTATAGAGGAATACAAATCCCAGCAATACATTATAGAGTACCATGTGTGGGAAAGTGCAGGCTTACCTGAGCAGTCTTCCAGCAACTTGCTTTTGAGATCGGGCCTGTCATCCCCCACAACTGCTTCTCCTTACTACATCTCCCCCCGTCCCTGTGCCGATCGTGGATGCGGGCGGTGAGTGTGAGGCGGGAAGGAGGTGCGGCGTGTAGAGCGTGGATGCGGGCGGATCTGGCAGCGGTGAGCGTGAGTTGGGGAGGAGGTGCGGCGCGCAGCGTGTGTGGAGCCATGAACAGGGCCAACTGATCGGAAGCCGATTAATCGATTATTGAAAAAGTTGACAACTTTTTCAATAATCGATTATAATCGATTATGTCGATTAGTTGTTGCAGCCCTAGTAACAAATGTATCCTCAATGGGGTAGGGGACATGCGACTGGCCAGATTAATATGGCTATGCTGAGGGTGTGCAAGTGCGTACGCAGTAAAAAGCAAGTGTGTGGTAGTTTAGTATTTAGAATTAGTAAAGAGGATGGAAGGTCCCAGTACCCAGTAGGGAGAAAAAATATGATATGACCTCCAGGGTCCTGATTCCAACATAAAAAGGAATCCCCAGACAAACCTGGCCTGACCTCAGAAATGGTAGTTGAAATACCTCACCACATAGAGACACAGGACCATTGCAGGAAGGATCCACAGTGTGGTGACTGGAAAGGCATGCACGCTTTAAGGCCCCATGTCACAGTGCCGTGTTTTCCCGAATGTTTGAGGGCATTTGTGGAAAAGTAGTACAGTATATAATGCAAATTTGGCGACATGAGTTCCACATTTTTTCCCCGCGTGTTCTTGCGCGTCCTCAGAATTCTTTAGAGCCTTGGTTCTCAACTGGTGGGTCGTGACCAAAGGTGGGTCGCGACCCCATGTTCAGTGGGTCGTGACATGCCTTCCTTCTAGTTGAGAGACTCCTCAGCCTCCCGCTAGTTTTTGTGCCCTGCAGCTATTCAAAATATGGCCTGCGTGTCAGCTTAAGGTGGGGTGGGATGGAAGTATGGTCATAAGGGAGCTCCATCCATACATGCATTTGCTTACAGCTCCCACATGTGCCCTGTGAAGGTGCCTGGATTGCACTGACGTCACATTCTGGCTCCTGGTGCCTCTACAGGGCATGTAAGGGAGCTGTACAAGCAATGCACATATGGATAGAGCTCAGTCACAGCACCACAGCCCACACTGGACTCCAGGCTGAGGATCCATTCCAGTTCTCCCATATGGTAGGGAGAGGTGGGTCTTAAAAAGTGTGTATGTGTGAGAATGTCTGTGAGTGTGTGAGATTGTGTCTTTGGTTGTGTGTGTCTGTCAGTGTTTTTGAGGGTTCATTCACACTAGTACAGTGTGTTAATCACTCAGTCCCATGCGATTAATGCACTATACCACGCAATGCGTGTTCTGGTGTGGAAGGTGCATTGCGTTGCCATTCATTTGAATGACACCCCAAATGAACCTCCCACCCGCAGTTTGATCGCTTGCACCCAAATGCTGTGCATTCCAGTGCAGTGCAGGTCGCAACTTAATGACCAAGGACAAATGTGGGTCCTGAGGTTACACAGGTTGAGAACCACTGCTTTAGAGCTTTGTGGATGATGCATGATGGAGAAAGTGCCTGTTCACTAGTGTCAGCCTCAGCCCCTCCCTGCAACCAATCAGAACTGAGAACCAAACGCTCAATAGTACACTGAGTTAAAGAATCGTATGATCTTACTGAGTCAAAAGAATCATGAGTCTCCAGATCAGTTACTGACCTGCACAATCCTAGGAGTTTCTAGTAGAACAGTAGACTGAATCAATGGTCAGGTTACAGCAATGGTTTAACACTCTCACTCCAATGTTTGCAATGACACCTAACACGTGTGATGCAGTCATCTTTTACATACATGCTCTAAACATGTTTATTCACATACAGATGCTAGGGGCAACATGGTGGTTTAAATTTTTTACTTAACTTTATTACTATCACACAGGGGCTAACAAGCCCCTATGTCAGTGGTTCTCAACCTGTCCCCAACCGGGACCCCTTGGTAACATTTGCCAAGTTTTGGTGACCCCCAAAGGTAAAATTTAGGGATGACGCGGCTGCTGCAGCGACATCTGGAGGCGTGGCAGGAGAACTGACACTGCTGCGGTAGGAGAGAGCTGAGGAGGACTCTCACCTTGCACAGCGACCCACAGGTTGAGAACCACTGCTATAGGCAAAGACGGGACCGGGCTCTGCAGCTGGAACTAGAAGAATTGGATTTAAAGTGTGTGGCTATATAACGTATGAGGTACATACTCCACAGTACTGTCACTGATAGGGATGGGCTCGGGCGTGTTCGCAGCTCCACGTGCCGAGCCCGCCAGGAAGCTGACAGCGCGCAGTGCCAATCACAGGTACTGAGACATTTCCCGATCTCTGCAGCTGCGGACCGGGAAAATGGAATGCATAGCTAGAGGTGTGTTTTACATATTTTTTTGCTTGAATACATACATATTGCACCCGCCCTCTGCTGCTGTCAATCACTAGAAGGGGACCTGGTGGAGAACTTCAGGTCCTCCTCTGCTGATTGGCAGCATCAGAGGGCGGTTGCAATAGCTAGTTTGCTATTGGCTTTTGCAAAGTGAAATAGCCAATAGGAATCTAGCTATGGTGTTTTTTTTTCTGACTAGGTGACCCCTGGCAAATCGTCATTCGACCCCCGAGGGGGTCCCGACCCACAGGTTGAGAACCACTGCCCTATGTGATAGCGTTTGGAGTTGACAGGTTCTCGTCACTTCTGGGGACACCCGATCAGCTGTGTTAATGAAAGACGACTTAATGCACATGAGCACTGATGAGCTGACGTCACAGCCAACATTGGTAGCCATTAGATTTTTCTATAGTGCTGCAACCACTATGGTAAAATCTGATCGTTATTCCTACTTATGCGCTGTAAAGACTACGGACAAATCTGATGGCTACCAATGTTAGGTGTGACATCAGTCCATAAGAACGCAGTAAACTGCTTTTCATTAACATAGCTGATCACACGTCAGTAGAATTGACGACAGCGACTGATCTGACAATATTGCTGACAAAACACTGTGACAGCTCTGAGCCAGAGCACTGATCACAGGAACGTTCCCCAGGAGCTGCCACCCTTCTCTGAATCAGTCTTCTGATTAGGGTCTTTTAATAAGGTTCATATAACTTCTGAGCTTCGGCTCAACTGCTTGTCAGCAGACTCAGCAAGTGAACCAAAAAATCGATTCATGAATCGGTTCATTTGAATGAACCAATTAATTTCAAAGATTCAAACTTCCCATCTCTACCCGACAAGTATTGGGAAAATTCTATGTGCGCATGTGCACTGCAGCTGTACAGAGCTCCTCCAATCTGTTTTGCAGAAAGGATGTGCACTTGCGCACAAATGCCATCTCAGTCACTGGAAGTAACTTGGAGATTTCGATGAGTGGGTCATTTCAATAGAACACTGAGGAAAGCAGAGAGGTCCAAGACGGCACCACGCTGCTAATCTGCAAGAACCCCTTGCTCCCTTTGTATTCGTCCGCCTTCTCCTGCCTGGAAAAACAATTAATGAAATTCCAGAGGTGTAAGAATTTTGGTAAGACCCAGCAACTGGACCCAAAATCCCAGCATTGTTAGGTCTATTTCGGAAAGTTCCCAGGTATGGGAATTGTGTCCCATTGTCAGATATCCTCCTACACACTGATCATACTGTTTGGATTCTATTTTTTTAGATTGTAAGCTCTAGTGGACTCTCCTACCCCTCGTGTTTTTAATTGCTTTGTAACTACACTATCTACCTTGTTGACGCTGTTCAAATCATGTATAACAATGTGAGCATATACTCTTCTCCAGCCCAACTGTTATAATGTCCGCCAGAAGTGATATTTACCCCCACCCCCAGCTCTCGCTGATGTCACTCTCGGGAGTTTGGAACGTTCGATGAGGGGGTGGAGAAAAAGGCGGGAATACTCCAGCATCTCCCAGAAGTCCTCGGGGTGCGGCGTGACGTAACTTCGCGGCGCGACGTAGCGCTTGGGAGGAGGAAGATGGCGGCCTCCATAGAGCAGTTGTTGAGCTCACTGTCTAATCTGGAGGACCCCATAGAGGGGCTGAGGAGCCTGAAGACCGCCGCCCTTACCCTGCCGCTCAGCACCCTGACAGAGCGGCTCCCTGCCATCCGCCTGGATGCCGTGTTCCGTCTCATGGCCAGTCAGAACAGGTGATGGCCGTCTTCTGCCACGAAGCCATGAAAGACAGCATGTATACCCCAGCACTTGGGATTCATGACGGGTGCTATATAGTCCCACTTATACCCCACCACTGAGCCATGACAGGTGACATATACTCCAATACTGAAGATCCATGACTGATGACTTTTACCCCGCCCCCCATATCCCACCATTAAAGACTTGTATACCCCCTAAATACTCAATCACTGGTCTGCCATTATGGGTGACCTATACTGCCCTCCATCACCATATGTAATATTACTTCTTTATATCCAACCAGTAAGAGGTCTTTTGTTTACTTCATGCCCTAATCCTATTTTTTTTAAATATATGATCACTATGAAGAGCTGCACACCTCCATTAAAGAAGAACCCTGCTAAGCACTGTTAACATTTAAACAGGCCTCCTAACATGACTATGATGCCATTGCATAAAAAGTGCCCTTTTTTAACTGGAGTTCCCTGGCCTTTAACATCTATATACATGTGAAAGTTTAAACAAAATTATGAGCTATGTGTAGCTAATCCTATTCAGTATGTCAAAGCTTTCATTGTCATTGAGTGGAGCACAGACCTAAAACCTTTCCCATTGACCTTAATCCCCCTTTTAAAAAAAAATATCTTTTAAGTTTTCATATTAAGAAAGACATGCATAACAAGAGAAAATTAAACAGAAAAGTCTTGATAAATGTGTGCTAGCAGCATGATGTAGTGTCAGTTTTCAGCAGTAACAAAATATTTAAGATCACATTAATATTGAACAATAAATGTAATGAGTAGTAAGGGTCACAAATGTGGACTGATTGCCCAGTTGGTAAAATACAGTTAGTGAATATCCTAAGATGTCCTTTTGCCACATCCAAGGCAAAACAAATTAAAGAATGGAGAAAGAAGCACAGTAAGAATAAAGAGAAAAAGATCAAATGAAAGGCAGTTGAGGGGACCGGCTCCATCCACTCAGTCTGGGGAGATCCCACAAGATCTAGCTATATCAGTAAGTAGGTTTAGACCAAGAGCGATTGTGGTTGCAAAGAATTGAGGAAATAAGTTCCAGGTTTCCATGAATCCAGGATAAGCATCTTAAACTCTGGACGCAAGTTCTTCCATGTGCATGAAGCCATTGATTGCCATTACCGACTGTTTAATTAATGGAGATGCCGTTGACACCCAATACCTGGGTATCAGTGCTCTACCCGCTAGGAGCAGAAATCTCAAATCAAACTGAAGTGAGCGAGCTTAGTAAAATAGAGGGTATGACTCCGATTTTGTTACAGCACTGTAGGCTCATAAATTATGTCATTCTGTTTGGTTTGGGTGATTGGCTAATTTGCATATCAGACAAGGATCTATATTTTAAAGTGTATGTCAAGACAAAACACTTTTTACAATAGTTTTAGGTAGAGTGGGGAAGGAATTGAACTCTTCTCAGGCTCTTGCTGTTATCCGTGCCAAATTTAGAGACATTTATGTCCTGCTGACAACTTTTTCACTTGCCTGCAAGTGAGGGAAAATCTGTAATACAGAAAAATGAAAATGGCAAGGGTTCTATTCATCTACTTTTTTAAAGAAAAACACTTCCCGTCAAGAGGTTTACAGCAAAACAGGAAGTAATGATAATGCTCCCTCAGCCCATGGATAGCAGTAAAAACTTGGCAGGGGTGCTGACACTTCCCACTCTATTCAAAATGGAAAAAAAAGGTATTAGCTGGACATATACTTTAAAGGAGGAAAAATGAATTTGTGGTTTGTATGAGATCTACTTCTTTGCCAAGTGTGCAGTGACAGGGACTCACTAATTCCATGCAGGAATCTATGTAAGCCCCTCTAATTTATATTTTGCATTTACAGAGAACAAGTGGATCTGTGTGTTGCAATTTTGGAGCGATTCCTTCAGGCCTTGGAACCAATTTACATTGCCCAAAACTATAAAGAGGACCTGCAGAGAGGACTTTATCATCCAGATGATTCAGTGAAGTTGCTGGCAATATCACAGGTACAAGTCTTTTAAAGGATCTGTAGTGATGGTCTGCAATGCAATTATAATTGGTTAAGGTGTCCCTGAGAATTTACCGTCTTTCTGAGTATGTTGGCTGTGGTATGTCCTTTGGGGTCCTCGCGTCTAATACAGGGGAATGGGCTGTATTAGACATGACAATGTCAGCGGGACTTAGACCGCTGGGAGCCGTGGGGACCGAGCGAGGATTGAGTATTTCTTTTTTTATTATTTAAGCCCCTACAGAGAACAAGAAGTTCTCTGTAGGGTTAAGAAGGGTTAATTTTTCTAAACTGCAGTTCTTTACAGAAAAATTCCAGGCAAATTAACCTTCGCAGTGGGTCTAGTCCTGCATTGCAAGTGTTAACTGCTCATTTTGGTCTGGGGTCTAAAATAAAAGATAGATTCACCTGATCCTCTCTCCCGCTGTTAGAACAGTCCCTGCAGCCTCTTCTTCCCCAGGCTCAGGCTGTCTAAGCCCGCCTGAGCCTGTCATGTTTAACCACTTTAAGACCGGGGTGGTAAATTCCCTTACTGTCCATTATAATTTTCCGTATTCAGCGCTCAAGTACTTTGACATTTATTCAGTCATGCTACGGCATACCAAAATTAATTTCATAATTTTTTGGGGACACGTAGCTTTCTTTTGGTGGTACCGTGTTTCCCCGAAAGTAAGACCTACCCCGAAAGTAAGACCTAGCTCTGTCTTCGGGGATTTCTGTAATATAAGACCTACCCCGAAAATAAGACCTAGTTCGGTGGTAGGTCTTATATTACAGAAATCCCCTAGGTCTTACTTTCGGGGTAGCTGCACATAAACTGATTTGGAATCTAAAGCCCCGCCGCAGCTCACGCCCGCCCACACCCCAGACGCAGCTCCCGCCTACACGCCCGACGGCCGCAGCTCCTGCCCGCACGCACGATGGAAGCGGAATATCATCCGCCGACACCGGCAACAGCACGCCGCCTTCCGGGACCTCGTCCGGTCCTCCCCCAGCCAGGTAAGACATCCCCCGAAAATAAGACCTAGTGTCTTTTTTCGTGCAAAAAAAAAAAATAAGACACTGTCTTATTTTCGGGGAAACACGGTATTTAATCACCACTTGGATGTTTGTTTGTTTTTTACTATAGAAGGAAAAAGAATACCGCAAATTTTGAAGAAAAAAAAACCTGTGTTTCCTACGTTATCTTATGAAACATTGTAAATAAATAATCTTTCTTTATACATTTAGGCCAAAATGTATTGTGCTACATTTCTTTGGCCACATCGGGTAAATAGATAACACATGTCAAGTCTTACAATTGCGTGCACCTGGGAAATCGCAAGAAACTACCATACCCAAACATACCCAAAATAGGCCCATAGGCGACGCTTTCAAATCCCTTGCAGATCATCAATTTAGTGTTAATAGTGATTGATGGCCCTAAAATTATTACTCGCACTCCGATGTTCGCAGTGATATGTAAGATGTGTGACACAATCGTTGTTCAGGACCCGATCTCCCTCCGCTCTCCTCCCGGTCCCTGAATGCAGGAAGTGATGTATATTACATCACTTCCGCATTCCTCTGTCACTCTCCGGTACAGAAACCGGAGAGAAGCTGATGAAAGCAGATCTCTGTTTCATCAGCTTCTCTGGGGGTCCCTAGGTGACATTAGGGGTCTTAGAGACCCCTGATGTCTCCATAAAGGGGACCTGTAACTGTAATTTGTTATCACATAGGGTGCTAAGAAGCTCCCTATGTGATAACAATAAAGTTAAGTGTAAAAAAAAAAAAATTGCTCACAAAATAAATAAAAATGTACACACACAAAACAAAACCCACAAACATTTTTTAAAGTCCCCCACCCCCACATGGATGCGCAAAAATGCATTAGATGCGCCCACACGCAAAAATGACGATTGCTCCAATTATGCCGCACGCGTTACATATCGCTGTGAACGTCGCAATGAGAGCAATAATTTTAGGGCCATCAATCACTGATAACACTAAACTGATGAGCGGTAAAATCTTTTAAAGTGTCGCCTCTGACCAATTTTGACTATGGTGTTTTTTTTGCGATTTTTGCGGGCGCCCGCAATTTTAAGGCTTGACATGTTTGGTGTCTATTTACCCGACGTGACCCCGACCTTTTATATTTTAGCAAAAAATTGGGTAAAAATAAATGTTTCCTAAAATAATAAAGGGAAAACCATTTAAAAAAAAAAAAAAAATTCAGTACTTTTTTATTATATATTAAAAAAAAAAAACCCCAGTGGTGATTAAATACCACCAAAAGAAAGCTCTGTGTCCCCTAAAAATTGTATAAAATTCATTTCAGTACAGCGTTGCATGACGGAATAAGCGTCAGCCAAAGTACTGCAGCGCTGAATACTGAAAAATGGCCTGGTCAGGAAGGGGGTGTAAACACCCCGGTCAGCAAGGGGTTAAGGTAAATCTCTGTAATAGAACTTTGGATAGAAATGAAAACAATACAAGGGCTCTAATCCTTTCCCATTCTATCCAAAACAAAAAAAAAGGGATTTTGTGCTTACCATACAATAATTTTTCCCTAAGTCAAATGAGGGACACAACTATGAAAAATTCTGTCACATAGGATTATGCTGCTGCCTCCAGGAGAAATTGACACTAGGAAAAAATAAATAAAAGCCTGCCACTTTATGGACATAACCCCTCCCACCTCACAACTGCCAGTTGTAGCATGCAATATGAAAGGAAATGAGTGGAGAGAGCTTTGTCCTTCAATGGACTCTATCGTTCATTGAGGGACACAGCTCTGAATAATTCTGAAATGTAGGTAGGTGTAAAAGCAGTCTAAAACAGAGGGGCAGGCGCCATAAAAACTAGAAGAACCAGCTCAAATTCTCAAACAGCCACGCAAAGAACTTTTCTGACAAAACTCGCATCAGAAGAGGCAGAAACATCAACTTTTTGAAACTTAGAAAAGTTGCAGAAGACCAGAAGTTGCAGCCTTGCAATTTGAGTAACAGAAGCGTGATTCTTAAATGCCCAAGAAGTAACTGCCCTAGTAAAATGAGCTGAAACAGGAAAAGGAGGAGCCATAACTCATTAAGGTGGAATGACATCCTGACATCCACTTAGAAATATCAGATCTAGAAGCTGAACAAAGAATCCGAATGCCTAAAGAGGGCTGTGGCTGACATAAACTATAACAGCCCGCACAACATCAAACAATGAAGAGGAGCTGGACAAAGTGAAGGTAAAACAATATCTCATTGAGATGAAAGGCCAAAACCACCTTGGACAAAAAGGAAAACTGCGGTCTTAAAACAACCCCAAGGGGAATTTGGCTATGTGGAGAAAATCTTTAAGTACAGAACATGCGACTGCTGGAGTTGATCCACATTTTATTGTTTGTGTGGCTCAGATGACTGCTTCTTATTTCATATGCTGTGCGTTCCTTGATGCTTGTCATCTGTGGTCGCCTGTGTCTGTCTTTTCCATTCAGATATGCAGAGTGTTTTGGTTCTTCATAAGGACAAGGAGGGGAATTTATCAAAACTGGAGCAGACAACTGGAGCAGCTGTGCAACCAATCAGCTTCTCTCTTCATTTTTTTCAGTTAGCGTCTCAAAATGAAAGAGGAGCTGATTGGTTGCCATGCACATCTGCTCCCGTTTTTGTATGCTCCAGAAATGTAAAGTTTTCGGCTGTGAACATTAACTACTTCAGGACTGCCCACCGTCAAAAAAAAAGTATTGTCCTGAAGTAGTTATACCAAGAACATGGCTGCTGCTGCAGCAGTGTTCTTGGTATCGTTTCAAACAGCAGACAATTGCTGTTTAGATACAAGCAATCGGATGGCTGTATAGCCGCCAGATCACTTGTATCTAAACAGCAATCATGGCTGCCGCTGCTGCTTTCCCACGTTCCAGCTGCTGATCTCTTCTCCAATCAATGGACCCTGAAGTGATCGCTGTGCACATTCTCCAGCTCTTCGAGCCAGGAGAAGAGTCTCTGTGTTCTTTAAAGGACACAGCACCTGCCCTCCTGTGGATGTGGGAATGTTTTTCTCCTCGCTGCTTGTAACTAACTGAGACTATTGTCAGCAGGTGGGGGTGCAACCCCTGAGCTGTTTGTGTTTTTTTTGCCTAGCATCCTACTCCTGCAGGTAGCACTATAACCCTGTAGTTCCAGATCTGTGATCTTTGATGTGTCCGTCAATGAATGCAGAGAAAAGGTTTCTATGGTGAGTACAGAAATCCTATTTTTACCTGTCTTCGCTCATTTTGTTTCTTGCAGGCCGGGAGAATTGTGGAGTGTTCAGAGGCTATAACAGAGATCCTCAACAATCTGGAGCTTCTGAAACAAATCATCATGTGTATTGGTGGTGACAAGATTGCTGTGGCCAAAGAGGTGAGTGCTGCTAAAGGAAAGAAAAATCCTTAGTTCAGCTTTGCATGCATGTCCTTTCTTGCCTCCTTACACACTGCAGAATCTCTGAGTATAGCAGAATTGGATTCAGCACCTTCATAGATCACCATGTCTTCCATGAGATCTTTAATCAACATTTCTGGAGTGTACACGCTTTTATATCTGTGACTATGCAGGTATACTGATCCTCATGCAGTCATGAAGGTGTTAAAGATGCAAAAACACTTTTTGACCTTAAAAAATATTTAAATAGGTTGTGTTGGCATTATATAAATCCTGTATAATAATGAGTAAGTTATGATGACCCACAGCAATCCTCATTTGCTGGTCTGTCAGTAGTACATTCAAATATTGTAGCCTTGAGTTACATTACTTTAACCCCTTCATGACTGAGGCCTTTTTTTCTTCATTTTTTTGGCACCCATGTTATATTCCACATTTTAGGCCTGAAAATTACTTAAAACCCCCAAACATTATATATTTTCTGAAAGCCAAGACCCAATAGAATAAAATAGTGGCAGTTGCAAATTTTTATGTTGCACGATATTAGCGCAACTCCTTATCAAACCCCAACATTTTGTGTCAAATGCACTTAAATGCCCCAAAACGCAATAAAATACCTATTTGTTTAATAAAATATAAAATATGAGGTTACAACGGGTAAATAGATAGCCAACATGCCCAGGTTAAAAATTGTGTGCGTCCGTGAAACGGCCACAAAATTCAGTACCTTAAAACTCCATAGTGGACGCTTTAAAAGCCCCCCCAGGTCCTCAGTTTGGAGATACCCAAAAATACTGGCCCTAGAATTTTTGCTCTCTGGCGTGCGCGGCGATACCCAACATGTGTAGCCCGTTCATCATTTTCATATGTAGGCACACCTGACGCGTGTTTACGTGAAGACGCGCATGCTCGCCGTGGCGGGGGACTTTAAAAGGAATTGTAAAATTATTTTTACATTTTTTTTTTTAATGTTACTGTTAAAAGCTTATTTATTTATTTTTTTTACTTTAATTGCTATCACATGGGGGGCTTACAAGCCCCCCATGTGATAGCAGATGGTGGTGACAGGTACTCTTTAAGGTGATGCTGGTGGTCCAAAAGACCCCCAGTGTCACCTTTAGGCTTCAGGAGCCCAGCACTGACAGCTATGGGACCGGAAGTGATGCAATCTGCATCACTCCTGGTCCTATAGAATGGGGAGGGGATCGACGTCCATCTCCTGCCCGGCTTCCCGCCGGGCCCGTAGGAGGGGCAACGGAATTCGGGAAACGTGGGGGTGTCGGGCGGGGCCCTTCACTGGCCCGTAGAAGCAAACTGGCGGTAGCAGAGCCCCCAGAATCGCTTCTACTGTAAAGCCGACCGTCAGCTTTAAAAGTTTAAACAGAGTCCCGGCAGCAGAAGCCGCCTAGAGTCTGTTTCAACAGCCCCGATGCCAGCGACGTACAATGTACGTCGCTGGTCATGAACGGGTTAATAGACAAACTCACAAGTGGCAGTTCATGAGTCATAGCAGAAGACATTCAACAACTGCTTCAGATTAGTTGTTGATAATGGAAGGAGATACAGACATTGGGTAAAGTGGTTTGAGGGCTTGTTCACACAACGTCCGAATTCTGTACGGACCACACAGTACGCTCCTGCACTAAAAATGCATCACAATGTATCCCTATGTGTTTTATGGTCTCCAGTTCTCACCCGCGCAGTCCGTTTCGGTCCAGACAGAAAAAATACTGCATGTCACATTTTCTACAGTCGGGGAACGCGTCAAATGCACCACACCGCAGTTAACAGCTGACAGCCCCACTCCACAAAACAAAAAGCAACTGGAACGCACTGGACGCATGGCACTGCATCTGCAGGTCTGCACCAGATCTGGACCAGAAAATGGTGTGAACAAGCCCTAATTTTGTAGACGTTTTAAATTTTTTTCTACTGTACTTGATATAATAATGTCATGCTCTTGTAATGCTCAATGATTGATCATCTGTATTTTGTTTGTTTTTTAGGCTATTAAATCCCTTTCTAAAATCGCCCGAACTACAGTTGGCCTTGATGTTCTCTTTGGAAGCAACTTGTTAGCCAGCCTAAAAGCTGTATCGGCCTTCAGTGATGTGGTACGATATAGAGTATATGAGGTAAGAGCGTGTAGTAAGTATATACATGCTTATGTTTTAATGAGCACTGTGACGGACTGAACCGTCACTGGTGCTGCTGGAGCAGCCTGAGGGCTAGCCTCCTTCCTACTGACTGTGGACCTAGAACTATGGAGACCCCCCTCAGACCTCTTGGGGTTACATGGAACTATTACCTTAGGTTTATGTGTGGAGTGAAAATGCTGCATGTTTCCCTTGCCATGACATTTAAGTGTCATTATAGGCCGCAGGCTGTCTGGAGTGACCATTGTTCATGACGATCAAGCTCTTATCTGATTAAGGACATCCATTAGGTTCAAAGAGTGTCTGTGCTTAAAGGAATTCCAATGCGGCACCTGGCTGTCTAGGGGTGGGAACTGTTCAACACACTGAACTCCTATCTGATTCTGTGAGGTATAAACTCTGTGTGCTTTCTTCAATAAAGCAGTTCTTGGTTTCCACTTCAACATTGGTGTTGTCTGATGATTGAGGGGGTTAGCCTTCTGTCCTAATATATTGGTTTCGTCCAATAATTAGGCAGGTTTGGGCTGAGGACACTGGAATTCAGGTTCCAGCGGAGAGGAAGCTGATTTCTGACGGAGGTACCCAGTCGGGGGAATCAGGCAGTCCGTCGCAAGCACTTGTGGTCAGCCATTAGTAGGCACTTTTCAGGTTGCTTCAGCTTTTTCCTCTGGTGCTCCCTCTAGTCAACAAATCTTAATTCTTGGCCCTACAACCCTGCACACCACCCTATTGGCCCATCACTATCATGGGCTGTTTCATTAAATAGCAGTCATTCATGAGAGAAGCAGTGCTAAGCACCAGATTCCTGTTTAAAATCAAGATTTGTGTAATAGAGCACCCTGGGTTTTGTTTTGAAGCACACTGCAGCTACCTTCTATTCCTATGGTTGTGACAGTTTAATTACTTTTCAAAAAACATACACACCCATCGCACTCCTGACCGGTTAGAAAACCCTAATTGTAGGGTGGGTGCTGAAATGACCGCGGATGCCTCCACAAAAGAAAAATCAAAAAAATTCAAAAAAGGTCACAAGCACTTCAGCATGTAGAAAAGTCAATGTTTATTGACTTCACAAGTGTCACATCAGAGCAAAACAGATAACCATTATGTTTTACCTGAGGAAGGGACTTTGATGTTCCGAAACGTCGCTCTGATGATGTGACGCTTGTCAAGTCAATAAACATTGACTTTTCCACATGCTGGAGTGCTTGTGACCTTTTTTGAATTTTTTAGTTTAATTACTTTAACTGCTAAAATTATTATAGTGACCTACCCCTTCCACAGCGACCAGGAAGGTAGTAGGTGCGATGTTGCAGTACAGTACAGAGAAGAGTTGGTAGAGGAAAGAGAGTCCTTGGTTTTAACATAGTTCATATACTTATTTTCTTGTCTTTGTATCAGTTGATGGTGGAGATCTCATCTGTGTCAGCAGAGTCTCTCAACTTCTGTGCAAACAGTGGAATCTTATCACAGTTGCTGGATGAGCTCACTGGGGATGATGTGCTGGCCAGGTAAGAATTAAAACACCTAAAACCATGCTTTTGTTTTTTTCTGTAGTTCTGTGTTCAGGATTGTCGTGGTATAGGCATTCCCTTCTAGCTTTATTCACAGGCTTGAGGCCTTCCATATGGGAATAACAGGAGTGTGTTCAGAGATCCCAGCAGTGCTTCAATTTTAGAGGGATGAAAACATTTTGTTAGATACAGGTGCTCCTAAGTGTTCTTCCCCGCCGTATGTGGCATGTTATTTTAGTGGGGTTGGTGTTGGTTCACAACAAGATATGGCTAAGACTGAGTAAGGTAGAAACGCGTCAGCGGTTGTTGTTTTTTTTTCTACAGATGCATGCGGAAAAAACATTTGATTTTCTTTGGAAGATCGTGTGCCGGTTTTACAGTTTTTGAGTTTGTGAAAACGTTTTACTTGTTCTTTGCAATAAAAGACCAGCTAGGGCACAAATTCAGAACCTGACGCACAGCTAGTGTTTGTTCTTAGGTGACACTAGAATAGTTCATACGTTTTCAGGATTCCCAGAGCAGAGTTTCCCTCAGAGAAAGCATAGCAGACACCGTTCACTTTAAAAAAAAAAATAACAACTCACACTTTGGGTTTGATTTACTACGGACAAATAGGCTGTTCAGTTTGCAAGGGCATTTGCACTTGGCAGAGGAAGTTTTACCCTTAATTTAGTGAAAGAGGGGAAGCTCTGCTGACTTCCATCACCCAATCATGTTCAAGTAAAAATGCAGTTGTTTTTTTATTTTCCCTGCACATGATTGGGTTTTCTTTACATAGTGAAGTTTCACCACATTCCCTGAGCTAAGGGAAACTTCCACCGCAAACTGCAAATTCCCTTGCAAACTGAACACCCTATTTGCCTTTAGTAAATCAACCCCTTTGAGTCTGTTGGAAGCTTTGTATAGAGTCATGTGAACAGAGCAGGGAGTCACTGTTTTGACTGATTCACGTGTGTTATTGGCACTGAAACTACTGAGCTCTGTAAACAGGCTTTTTTCAGTAGTACAGATACGGATTGAAAATGTTCATATGAAGTATTTTATATTTGAACAAATATTAATTTTAGGTCCTGACTATAGTGCATAAAGAAAATATGTACAAAACTATAGTTTCCCTTTTTATTGATTTCAGATGTGAATGACTTCTATGTGGATTTTCTTTAAGTAGTACTTTAGTGGTGTTCTTCTTTAAATTAAACTACAGTTTCAAGCAGTGTTAATTCTGACGGCAAATCTCGATTTAGTTTTGGTCATAGTCTTTTGACTAAAATGCCAATTAGTTTGTCATATTTTAGTCATCTGAATTGTTTTAGTTGACTAAATCTACAGTAGTTAGTCTACTCAAATCGAGTGGGTTTAGCTGAAGAGTAATTGAAGAATGTCTCTAGGATTTCCAATCTCATGATACATTCCTGGAGATTACTTCTGCTATAAATGTTTACACGTGCAATACAGACACAGATTTACCTGTTGTGATATATAACATGTCTTTATTTACATTAAACCAAGTCTTGTAAAGAAACAAATGAAGTACTTTCATCAAAGGACCAGTCATTGGATTTGCATTGATTATAACAACTTGCATTTGACATTCTTCATTCTTTCAATCAGAAGTGCAACTCTAATATATTAAAATTAAATCTATTGGCTGTAATGCCATTGGACATCTTACCTATTAGACATGTGCACTGCCAAAAAATTTGTTTAGTTTCGTTTCGTTTTAAATTCGGATTTGTGTTATTTCGTTTTTCGGGATTCGGGTGTGAAAGTCAATTCGGATTCGGACGAAATTCGGTAGCGGTAGTTCGAACGTTCGTTTCGTTTTCTGTTCTTATTCGTTTCTTATTCGTTTCGTTCGTTTGCAGCAAAGTGACATGTGAGGGGGAAAAAATATTTTTCTCCTCTAATGTCACTTTGCTCCAACAAACGAAACGAATAAGAACAGAAAACGAAACGAACGTTCGAACTACCGCTACCGAATTTCGGAAATGGAAATGCGGATTCGTTTGCATTTGTTATGTCTGTAATTCGGAATTCGGATACATCCGAATTTCCGAAAATTCGTCCGAATTTCGATTCGGAACGAAACGAATCGCACATGTCTATTACCTATTAGCCATCCATTCAGGATGGAACTGGAAGTCCAAAGAGATTAGTTCTTATTGGATTTCGAGTTTTAGTTTGTCGACTAAAATGTCAATATATTTTCGTTTATAGTTTTAGTCATCATAACTTCGTTTTTATTTAGTTTTAGTCTTGTTTTTAGTCAAAACGAAAAAAAAAGTGTTGTTGACAAAAATGTTGAACAATTTTTAGTTGGCGAAATTAACACTGGTTTCAAGTCTAAATGGTTAAAGAAAAACTCCAATCAAAACTTTTATTAATCCTTGCAGTGGGGCTACCCCTGTACTGCAAGGGTTAACTGCTTTTTTTTGCCTAGGTGCTAAAATAAAAAGTTATACTCACTCGATCCTCGGAGCCTGCTTGCTGTTAGATAATTTCTTCCAGCCTCGGTCCCCCTCTGCTGCAGCATTCTAAGGATCCTCGAGTCATCACGTCCAATATACTGTGTATAGGATGTGAGGATGCCAAAGGACATACCATCGCTGCAGCGTGGGAGGAGAGAGGCTGGAAGGACTGGTCTAAGCGCAAGCTGCTTCGCCTGCAGTTGCCACGGCCTTTATACTTGGTGCTCTTTAAACTCTCGGCATATCTAACTATTCTGTTATGAAACTGTGCTGTTCTGTCAGTATGTTCTATGACAGTATAGAATATCTTTTTCCTGTGCATTCTGCAGAGTGGCCTGCACCGAGATGGTCACGGCTCTAGCTGCCACACTTCATGGACGCCAGTACTTGGCACAGGAAGGACTCATCGACAGAATATCTAACATGATCCTTGGAGCTGATTCTGACTCTTTCTCTGGACTTTATTTGCCAGGTAAATATCTGTTATCTGTATCTAGTCAAATCATTTAGTTTTGAATGGAGCAGGCAAGTGTTAGATCCTCTGTCATGTCCCCCCCCCCTTCCTCTTTTCCTCCTCCTCCTCTCTTTTCCTCCTCCTCCTCTCTTCCTCCTCCTTCTCCTCTCTTTTCCTCCTCCTCCTCCTTCTCCTCTCTTTTCCTCCTCCTCCTCTCTTTTCCTCCTCCTCCTCCTCCTCTCTTTTTCTCCTCCTCCACCTCCTCTCTTTTCCTGCTTGTAATGCTCTGAACTACAAATCCCAGAGACGTCAAGCTTATCTCAAGGATGAGCCCAGCTGTAAGCTTGGCAAAACTTTAATTTCTATTTGTTGTCTGTTCTTGCAGTAAACTTCAAGGAAACTGACCCAGTAGCATTAAAAGTACTTTACTTGGTGAAAATGCTGCGTGTACAAACTTAGTTACAGGAAAAAACAAATACATAAACAAGACAGGCTGCTACAAACATTCACATGCACCCACTACACTATCTTCTAGTACATGTATGATTTCTAGGAGGGGAAACACTGAAAGTGTACTTAGCTTAGGCTGCAGACTCCAATAAATTCCGTGATGAGCAGGACTTGGCCTAGGAAGAATGGCTTCTCGTTGCAGTATCCTTTGTATGTCCTGGTCTTCAAGCAAGTCCTCTTGTCTTGTGAAGCACCCTCGTACTGTCCCCCTCCTGTGAAGCCCTGGTCTGGTGAAGTGCTGTGCTGGTGAAGTTCTACTGGCTTTTTTGTGAAAGAAAACTGGCCTAAAACTTTGGAAGCTACGCCCCTTTCACCTTTAGGAAAATGCAATACAGTTTCCCACCTCTAGGTGGCAGCGTTGTACCATAAATTGCCATCAGTAGTCAAGATTTGATTTGAGTCTTGACCAGGCTAGGCGTGACTATTTACGATCACCATCCCATTGTGATACGAAACAATACAGGACAAGCTACACCATTGTGTAAAACCAGTTTGGCCTGTATTGTTGGCCACTTCCATTGTATGAACCAAGTTTCTATCAACAAACAAAACCTCCGTCTCTATTGCAAATCTATGTGTGTCTCAAAAAGTCCACTAAGATATATCGCAACACACTACTCCTCCTCCTCTCTCTTTTCCTCCTCCTCCTCCTCTCTCTTTTCCTCCTCCTCCTCTCTCTCTTTTCCTCCTCCTCCTCTCTCTCTCTTTTCCTCCTCCCTCCTCTCTCTCTCTTGTCCTCCTCTCTCTCTCTGTTTTCCTCCTCCCCTCTCTCTCTCTCTCTCTCTCTCTTTTCCTCCTCCTCTCTCTCTCTCTTTTCCTCCTCTCTCTCTCTCTCTCTCTCTCTCTCTCTCTCTCTCTCTCTCTCTCTCTCTCTCTCTCTCTCTCTCTCTCTCTCTCTCTCTCTCTCTCTCTCTCTCTCTCTCTCTCTCTCTCTCTCTCTCTCTCTCTCTCTCTCTCTCTCTCTCTCTCTCTCTCTCTCTCTCTCTCTCTCTCTCTCTCTCTCTCTCTCTCTCTCTCTCTCTCTCTCTCTCTCTCTCTCTCTCTCTCTCTCTCTCTCTCTCTCTCTCTCTCTCTCTCTCTCTCTCTCTCTCTCTCTCTCTCTCTCTCTCTCTCTCTCTCTCTCTCTCTCTCTCTCTCTCTCTCTCTCTCTCTCTCTCTCTCTCTCTCTCTCTCTCTCTCTCTCTCTCTCTCTCTCTCTCTCTCTCTCTCTCTCTCTCTCTTTTCCTCCTCCTCCTCCCTCCTCTCTCTCTCTTTTCCTCCTCCCTCCTCCTCTTCCTCCTCCTCCTCCTCTCTCTCTTTTCCTCGTCTCCTCCTCTCTGAGAGATGAAAAATAAATAAATAGGGAAAGCAGGGGGCAAGAGCTATGTGGAGGGTATAAGGGCAAAGGGGGAGCACACAAGAGCCATCATTATCATGAGTTACATGATGACATTGCAAGCTCTCTGAACCCATCAGCATCGTATTAATTGTACTGTAATGTTATCTTACAATGTTTCAGACACAGGGAGTGTAGGGACAGGTTGCACATGGAGGACATAACCTATTGGAGGATTTCTAATAATTATTTCAGTAATCAGGCTGAAGGTAGAGAGATAAATGGGAAGTGAATGCTGCTGTCTCCCTCTTATCGGTACAGCTTGGCAGGGTTATTTGACTCTGAAGACCAGCTAAAGAGAATTATGTGTATTTTGCCAGTTAAAATTCGCCTTTATCTACAAGTTTGATGTTCTTTAATCTTTTATTACCAATTTTATATTTTCAATATACAGTGTTCCACTTAGGTCCAGTCCTTTCTTGTCTTAACAGATGTTGTAGGAGAATAGGTTTTTCTGCCATTTACTACCAGTTCTGCATTATTTCCTCCAGGCCTGGTGAAATTCTTTGGGAATCTGGCTGTTCTGGACAGTCCGCAGCAGATCTGTGAGCATTACCCTGCATTCCTGCGGAAAGTCTTTGAAATGGTAGAGGGTCATGAGACATCAATGATCGGAGTGGCTGTGGACACACTGGGAATTCTAGGCTCCACCGTGGAAGGGAAACAAGTTCTGCAGAAGACTGGTGTGTGAGCTTATCTGTCACTACATAGATTGTTCTCTGACATGAACACCGACATCAGACTGTTCTGTTCATTTAAAGGAAAATAGTTTATTTTCAGAAAGTACGCACATTGCTGCCTTTTTAATGCCTACATGAAAGTGATTTTTGATGCCACTTTAATATTTATACTTAGTGATTGTTATTTGATATGATTATTTGATGGTAAATCTCCATTGCTGAACATACGATGTAGAATTAAAGCACCCAGAGAACAGTATTGAATCTTCTCCATGCTCTACTAAGCCAAACAATCCCTTGTTGCCAACAGACTGTATTGCAGATACTTATTCCCTACATTCCTTAGGTATTGAGTTAGATCTTTTTTTGCACTTGTTAAAATCTTTTTAAAGGAGTGGAAGGTTGTGCCTTTGCTGGACCTATAAGATTATTCCAGTTGAAGTAAGAGGAAACGCTGATCCCTGCTATACCTCTAGATCCTCGGTAGACTTTAGACTTGAATGTATCTTTCCCGCTGGGTACAAATTTCAATAATTGTTGATACAAAGCCCTGCCATTTTTTTGTTTCTTCTCTTGCACATTGCTTAAACATTGTTTGTGAAAAGGACACCACTCACATTCTTAATCCCACACATCGGTCCCATTCAAAAAGCCAGGTGGCGTGTGACAAAGGCACGCCCTGGCCCTCACCAGTAGTCCAATGTATGCAATAACGCACTCAACAGACAGGACCTCGCTGTAAAACATTCCTGGGAATAAACATCTTTACATCGAGGTCCTGGCCGTTGATTGCTGCTTTGCATACATTGGATTACTTAAGCATTATTACAATATATCTGTACTTTTATAGTTAACAGCTCTCTATGAAGGTATATAATATTTGAAAGTTGTGTTGTATTACTGCAGGAATGTACAAAAGTTCTTTCCTTTTTGTTAAATTAACATAAAGAGGGGTAGAACTTTATTTTTGTAAACATCCAAAACCACAAATGTATCTAATTTTTAAAGAAAATGTAGATAACTGCTAGATATTTGACCTCCAGCTTTGTGCATACATTTGAGAAGAAGCAGTTGGCCAGGTATAGTAGCAGCAGATGACGACAATTCTGGAATATACGGGCTACAGATTGCAATGCAAGAGAATTTGTCTGCTGGCTGAAGAAGTAGAAAAGGAATATTTTATCCTTTAAATGAACTCATTTTGACAGGAGAGGAGTATGACATTTTGAAAATATCAGAGATGTGAGCCTACTGTAGTGGGAACATAGTCTAACTGAGCTGTATTTTCACCTGCTGTATACTGTGCCATATAGCTCAGCATAGATTTTACAAATCTTTTGGTGAATAAAGCAGTTCCTATGGCTTCATTCACAGTGTGTTTGAATGTGCATTTTGGGATTCCTGCTGCTGAAGAATCCCAAATATTCAGTTTAGAAGCGGCCGCTGTCACCTGCTCAAGTTAATGATCAGGTGACAGCGGCTACATCTATAAGCGATACTCCGCATGTAATTGTATGTGATACGAGTACATGTGGTTTGGAATAGATCACTGTCCCTGCCTCAGGAATCCAAAAACACATTCACTCATAGTGTGAATGAAGCCTATTTGTTTCAGCTGTGTATTTAGCTGTGTATTTACAGTTGCCCTTTATTTCCCCAAATGAAATTAAAAGTATGAACAATATACATTGCTAAAGGGCTGAAATGTCTGTAAATGTGTTAATTTCTGGAATTTTGTTACCAGTGATACATGCCAAGGGTGTTTGTGTATATGGATCTATTAAGCACAGCTTTTTGTACAACTTGAACACCCTTCCAAAATATTGTGCTCGGGTCTTTCAAGCCAGGGTACTGTTTTTGTTACAGCATACAAATACATTTTAGACAATTGTGTAATTCCAGCCTTGTGGCAGCAGTTTGTGGAAGGCCATTTCTGACCCCTGTGTACAAAGCCAGGTGCAGAAATACATGGTTTGGTGTGGAGAAACTTGAGTGGCCTGCTCAGGGACCTGACTTCAACCCTACTAAACACCTTTTAAGATGAATTGGAATGCCAATTGCAAGCCAGGTCACCCCATCCAACATCAGTACCTGACCTCACAAATGCTCCTTTGGCTGAATGGGCACAAAATTTCACAGATAGAATTCCTTCCCAGAAGAGTTGAGGCTAGTATAGTCACAAGGGGGTGCAGCAACTCCTTATTAATGGCAAAGGTTTTGGAATGGCATGCCCAACAAGCCTATATAGTTGTGATGGCTAGGTGTCCACAACAAACCTTTGGCCATATAGTGCAAATATGTACTTTCATAAAGCAGATCAATTTATAACCAATGAAGGAATCCTTTCCCCTGCCCAAAGAAGTCTGATCATTCCTTAGCTTCTGTTGCCTTTTTTCCCATCTGTACTTGTACATTTTATGTCATTCTTTCCTTTTGAATGATCTTTTGTTCTTCTCTCCTCTAGGCACCAGGTTTAACAACGTTTTTAAGAGAATTGGGCACCATGCAAGAAACGCTCCCACAGAGCTGAGAGTGCGATCTTTAGACTCTATCTCTTCCCTCCTGTTCCTACCAGTGAGTTCTTCTGTTATTACCAGATGTGTTCTGTAAAAGTCACCTCGTCTGTTATGGTCTATATAGACTCAAGACTAGGCATCTTCTTTATGATGACATCACTGAGACAGAAAAGGCCTTTTTTTAAATAATATATGGAAGACTAGACACGCCAGCATAATAGCATTGTTTTTGTTTTCCAGTACTATAAGTGTATATTTTTTTTAATTGGACCATTTTACTTACTTAAAAATATGGTCACTTCATCCTCCTGTACCGAGTCTATTCTCTTTATTTGCCGGGGGTCCTTTTTTCGGGTGTCCACATCACTGCTGCATGAAGCAGACACTTCCTATTGGCTCTCTAGTGTGCAGGGTCCTTCTAAGAGAGTGAAGAGGACTGACGTCAGCAGAGGGGATGGTATGGAACTTGCGGAGCACCGGTCGGGCATAATTGCAGCGCTGGATTAGCGGTCCCCAGCTCCCAGAAATAGAGGATAAGGGGGATCTGTATGGGGGACATAGGTGAATATTATTTGCTTCACAAGGTCAAGGGAAAACAAATGCTTTCAGGGTGGGTTGGAAGGGAGATGTGGGGCAATAACTGATCTTCTGCTGAAATTGGTGTTGGAGACCAGATTAAAATAGTGTAGACATCTTGGTTTATAATTATTTTTGTAATGCATACATGCACACACGCACACACGCACATTCACGCAGATAGTGGGAGCGGCAGGGTTGGTTTAAAAAAAAAAAAATGTTTTATTATTTTTTTACTTGCCACCTTTTTCTATTTTTTTTCATTAACATTTGCTATCACAAAGGGGCTAACAATCCCCTATATGACAGCATTTCAAAAGTGACAGGTTCTCTTTATGGAGACATCATGGTTCTTTTAGACCTCTGATGTCTCTCCTGCTCTCCAATACAGACAACCGAGCACAGGATAGTGCTTGATCTTCTGTTTACCCTGCACTTCAGCCAGGTTTTGATAGTTCTGAAGCAGGAAACGCTGAGAGCACAGTGCTCCCTGCTTCATTCAGTACAGAGAAGAGTGGGGAATGGACGTTCCTTGGTCTGCTCCCACTCTCCATCCTGAAACTGTTGGCAGTGGTCCCGCCCCCCCAGATGAGTGGGGGACCTAAAAACCATGGTAGGGGGGGTGGGGCACAATAGCAGGCTAGTATAAGTCATCTGGGTTGCTCTACAGCCACCCATTACTTGTACCGGCCCTGTCTGATGTCATTGGTTGCTATCAGCGGTCCTAGCAACTAATGACTGAATCGGAGAGGGACCTGCGCTGGGTTATGGCTGGCAGTGGATGCACTGGCCTCGGAGGCCCATGAATCAACTGTCAACCAGTTATAACACAGTGAAGGTCAATGATCGCGATCTGGACAGAACTGCCACTTTGTGTCTGGAACGCAGTCAACCAATTAGTAACGCCCTTCAACACAACTGTAAATTGAGCAGATTCAGTTTCTACTTCTGAAAATGTGACCGTTAATCAAAAGATACAAACAAATTAAAATGTTAATATTTTCATGTCCTAAACATCAGAAGATAGACTCAGAAATTGTATTTTATCTAATTGTTGAACTGATGCATGCTCAAGCACTATTTTCACTGGGCTGGATCTTGTTTTAAGTTTCTGTTGTCCTCAATTAAAGAACACTTTTGCTTGCAGCAGGATTAGGTCATCTATCAGTGTCTAGATTAACTTTATACCATTTACTGAATCTTGCTCCGTGTATGATTTTTGGTTTAGGGTTGTTAAGAAGAGAATGACAGCAGATACATAGTTGTAGGCAGGCAGGAGCAGAAGGTGAATGCTGAGAGGGAAATGACAGCCACTAACTGGTCAGACTGGTTCATTTTACTGAGATGTGAATTTGTTATGATGATCTATGAAATAAAGAATAAAGACACACCGTGCACATACATTTCTTCCAGCCAATGAACAGTTTTCTGTGTTTTTGTGGAGCTGTTAGCCAAGCTCTATGCAGAGTCATTGATCTAACAGCAGTCTGCTATAGCAGTTTGATGATTGTCGCTTTCTCCCACAGGAAGATCACCACACTGAAGATCTTCTGGCCATGTCAGAATCTTGGTTTGTGTGTCTGTCTAATCAGCCAATGGATTTGTTCCGCAGCATTGCCACCCAACCCTTCCCTGAACTGCACTGTGCTGGACTGAAGGTTTTCACTGTGAGTTCCCATAATGTTTTTCACCGACACAACTTTGCTTGGAAATTCTAGAAGTTTGACAGAAAATATTCACAACCCCCAGGTGTTTAGGCTGTGGATGGCCCTTAATATTTAACATGTAAAAACAAAATTCTTAGTTTTGGATAGCGTTTGGAAGAGTTAGAACCTCAGGTCAGGTTTATAATGCTGTCTTTTCACTAGTTCCGCTGGTGACCACGGTCACTGGGACTAAAATGCCCCAGTTTTGATAAATTCCCCTCATTGTATATGTCATGTAGACAAAATCTGAAGAAGCTGTGCATGGCAACCAATCCGCTTCTGGCTTTTATTTTCAAAGTTTAACTGAACAAACTGAAAAGAGAAGCTGATTGGTTACCATGGGCATCTGCTCCGGTTTTGATATGTTTCCCCCATTGTTTTGAGTTGTCGCTGGCACAAGAACAGAGGGAAAATCTTTCAGTGGGGACACTTGTTCTAATGAAAACTAAGAGCAGGTTTCCCTCAACTTAGAATGATTTCTTCTTACTTCCTCTTATGCCCACAGGAAAGGAAGTGAAGGGAAATTAACCCAATGCCACACAGATGACAAAAACATGACGGCTGTTTTTTCTCTGCCCTGCTATATCAAAAACTAAAAAAAAACACCATTGGGTTTTTTTTTTAAATGTATATTCGGATGATGGAATCTAAAGACTCCCTAGACGTTGGCCTGTATACCCAGCTCTTCGTCATGCCACATTTCTTTTCTGTGCAGCAAACAGGTAGAAGGACAAAAAAAGGAAAGAAAAACCGAGTCATAATGTAGATATGGTTTCCAAATATAAGCATGGCCCCATTACAGTATACATTTCTAAGATTTCACTTTCTGGTCTAGCCAGTATGTCATCTTTGTATATACTGTAGGTGTCTTGAGTGATAGCTCTGATAACATCGAGTTAAATAATGGAGAGCCTGCTGAGAGCTAAACCGCATAATGTGCTATTGTCTGTTTACAGCTCTGTGATAAATATACCAGCATGTACAGAGCTTTTATTAAAATAAATATTTAAGTCTATAAAAGTTATTGCGAAGGCAAGCATTTTGCACCAAGGCTGGGAACCCCAACACCATTGGAGGATCCGCTCAAAGAGGTAAGTAAGTAGGCACCTGGGTTTAAGCTTTAATATAGGTTGGGGGGTATTCTAAAGTGAATCTGTTCATTAATGTTTTGTTAAGTGTTTATCATGCTGAGGAAAATTTTTTTTAAAGGTTATTAAAGCCTAGCGTGTTTCTGCATATATCTACTGCTAGCAAGCAGTAGATATATGCAAAATAAAAAAACTTTTCAAAAGGGTTAAAACGTATCTGTGTCTCCGCCACACGCTTCCGTCTGAGAAGATCTGAAGATTCTCGGGCCGCTGCAAAGGATCTTGATGCGGATGCAAGCGCAGTTCGGATCTTCGGCCGGGAGTCGAGGAGAGACACAAGGTGAGTCAATGGAGGCATCATGCACCCGCACAGACTCCATGGGACAGGAAGTGCCAGTTAAGAGAGGAGTCGGCGCTGGATTGGAGGCTGGCACCAGCGCTGGAGGGACTCCTGAAAACTGATGTAAAAAAAGATGATCGGATCAAGAGGCATTATTTAACCACCTGCTGTCCGGCCGTTGTAATTAAAGGGCCGGACAGCGGCTTCTTGAGAGCGGGTGGGCGTCTTTAGACACAGCAGCTCTGCGGCCGGAGATCAAACGGAGCTCAGTACACGAGCTCCGTTTGATCTCCTCTTCGGAATGCAGGAAGTGATGTATATTACATCACTTCCTGCATTCCTCTGTCACTCTCCGGTACAGAAACCGGACAGAAGCTGGTAAAGCAGGTCTCTGCTTCATCAGCTTCTCTGGGGGTCCCAAAGTGATAGGGGTCTTGAAGACCCCTGATGTCTCCATAAAGAGGACCTGTCACTGCAAATTGGTTATCACATAGGGAGCTTGTTTTCTCCCTATGTGATAGCAATAAAGTTCAGTGAAAAAAAAAGGTTTTAAAAAAAAAATTAAAGTTACAAAATTTAAAAATTAAGTCGCACATCAAAGCAATAAAAATTAAAGTCCCCCGCCCCCACATGCACAGGCAAAACAAATGCGTCAAGTCCGCCTACGTGCGAAAACGACGATTACATCCATTGCGCCGCACATGTTACATATCGCCGCCAATGTCAGAATGAGAGCAATAATTCTAGGGCCATCAATCACTGATAACACTACACTGATGAGCAATAAAAGCTTTTAAAGCGTCGGCTGTGGTCAATTTTGAGTATGGAAGTTTTTTGCGATTTCGCAGGTGCGCGCAATTTTAAAGCTTGACATGTTTGGTGTCTATTTACCCGACGTGACCCCGTCTTTTATATTTAACAAAAAAAATTGGGTAATAAATGTTTTATAACATAACGTAGGGATAACCGGTGTTTTTTCAAAATTTTCGGTACTTTTTTCATTATATAGTAGGGCTGTTACTGATTAAAATTTTCGTGTTCGATCAATCGAATTTTTTTTTAATCGATTAATTTCGATTAATTATAACGCACATACAGATCAAACTACATTGGCCTATACACATAAGCACAGCAATGAAGTAATAAAATGAACTAGGATCACACTAATCCAGCACCTTATTAATCTCACGTGCCCCACTCAATATGGCCGCCGCTTGAGTGGGGCAACTCAGAATTATAACGCGCTGGATTAGTGTGATCCTAGTTCATTTTATTACTTCATTGCTGTGCTGTATGTGTATAGGCCAAATGCCTTGGCTGGCGCTCATGCAGAAAGTTTCTTGGGCAAACTCACCGGCCCAAGTGGCTCCGTCGGTTAACGAAGGGAAGAGGGGAGGAGTCCGGTGACGTCACGGACATCGACATCACCGGACTCCTCCCCCCTCTCCTTCGTTAGCTCTGTCGGCTAACGAAGGTAAGGGGGAGGAGTCCGGTGACGTCACGGACATCGCCGTCACCGGACTCCTCCCCCCTCTCCTTCGTTAGCTGATGGAGCCACTTGGGGACATCAACGTCACCGGACTCCTCCCCCTTACCTTCGTTAGCCGACAGAGCCACTCGGGGAAGGGGGGGAGGAGTCCGGTAACTTCGATGTCCGTGACGTCACCGGATCTCCGACGGGACTCCCGGAAGCTGGCAGAGAGGTGAGTATTTTCATTAGCGATCAAAAAAAATGTAATCGATCAAAACGATTAATCGAGAAATGAATCGTTAATTTGCACAGCCCTATTATATAGTTTAAAAAAAACAACCCGTAGTGATTAAATACCACCAAAAGAAAGCTCTATCTGTCCCCAATAAATGGTATAAAATTAATTTCAGTACAGCGTTGCATGACAAAATAAATGTCGGTCAAAGTACCGCAGCGCTGAATACTGAAAAATGGCCTGGACAGGAAGGGGGTCTAAACACCCCGGTCAGCAAGTGGTTAAGGTAAGTCCTTACACTAGCATTTGGGGGGGATTATCCCTTAATGTCACTTCAATCTAAAACTAGCTGTGACTGTGAAAACCAAGCAGTGTATTTTTTTTCTATCTTTCTGTAACTTATCTCCATATTTTATATTTCACATAGGCCATCGCCAACCAGCCTTGGGCACAGAAACTAATGATTGAAAGCCCTGGATTTATAGAATACATTGTAGACAGAACTGTGGATCCAGACAAAGATTCAAAGGATGCCAAATTTGATCTTGTAAAAGCTTTGGTGAAGTCTAAAACAATAGCAGAAGTCTTTGGAAATCAGCATTATTTGAGGCTGCGTGCCTATCTGCGGGAAGGAGCCTACTATGTAAAAGCCATTTCTACTGTGGCCGTTGAAGGAGCAGAATAGGTAACACCTATTGTGGAGGAAAGCAGCAGTGAGTCCTCTTCCAACCACTTAGTTTTGGTTTGGTGTTACAAAGATTAATCCAGTTCCAGTGACCAAAACAAAGCACTTAAAATCTAGGAAATCTCAAATATATTGATTGTTATGTGTAGCGCGTGTTTACTTATTTACCTAGAAATATACAGCTTTCTTAGAGTCTGGCGATGTCTTGGCTTTTTATTGTCTGAGAATTGATCTCTGGCCCGCATTGCATCCATCTCTCTCCCTATTCCTTTTTCTCTCACCACCTTTTGCTGTGGGTTTGTGGGTCTTTCTTTCCTCTTACTCCTTTTTTTTCTTTTTTTTTTCCCTTTGATTTTCTTTTTTGTTCTTACTCTGCCTCTCCCTTCTGTTTTTTTCAGTTTTGTACATGAATGTCATCATGCAAACTTAGAGTTAACCTGAAAGTTAATGCAGGCTGTTGAACACACACAGGAATTGAAGCTTTGCTAGCAGGTCCCTGCATTTCAGTGACTGGCACAGATGTCATTTGATTCCTTATCTTTTATTCTTTAGCTTTACTTTCAGCAGTGCTCACACCTTCATTCAGTTTATATAATATTGTTGTTACTGTTCCACTAGTTAATGCATAAATCTAGAAAATGCTGCTTACCAAGGGATGAAAGCCAAGCCTAACTACAGAGTAAAAAGATGGAATCTTCAGAGTTACATTTTAAAAACTGGAAAATGAGTGCAAAAGGAAAGAAGATGTAATGCTGACCTTCATCTGGGCATGGAAGCAGGTAACCTTGCAATGTGGTCGCCTTACTTTCAGAAAAAAAAAGTTATTACATTGACCAAAATAATGTAACAAAGGACACCAATATGCACAAATCTTACTTGGCTTATCTGTGGATCATAACAAAAGGTTGCCCTGGACTAAACTGCTGTTGTAATATACCTGGAGATCATTCCAATTACAGAGAAAGCCTTTTACAACCATGTACTTGTTTCACAAAACCTCAGCAAATAATTCTTTACAGTTTATCACACTGCAGCAGAGGCTGCTGAGGAAACTCCAAAATTTAGACTCTTCTTGTTTTGCTACTAACTACACAAAACTTTTTTATTTATTTTTTATTAGAATGGGTTAGTTTTTGTGAAAGGACTCTGGCGTCCCCATGATGTTCTACTGTTCTGGATACAGATGGAACTTTAATGGTACTCTTTATGAATTGATTCCCTATTCATTATGAACTCCCTGAATTATTACGCAGTTTGACTAATGGGCGAGATGTTTGCTCGTATGCTTATTAAAATTGATTTTGAAAGCTGCAATTCGGAATGATTTAATATGCAGAACTCAGTAATTAAATATATGCAACACTTATAACTTATATCATTCAAACTTATTACTTATATATTTATCCCTTAAAGGAATACCATTTTAAAGGAAAAATAGAGGTTGTCATTGCTAGTTTATCCTGAAAATTCTAGTTGCCTGCCGGTTGTACTATGTGCCATTGGCTTTAACCCATTTTAGTTACCCATCCAGAGCGGGTATGCTAATGTGGAGTTCTGACTTCACAGGTTGCATGCTTGTCCTGGGTCAGTCACTCTGACTCTGAAGAGAGAGACAGCCAGGCAACTATGTTCAGAAGGAGATCAGCAATGGCAGCTTTCTGTCAGTACATGTTTAATTTAAGAAATTATAACATTTTTCTTTGTTGTTGTTACCTTGGTAGAAATCTTGAAACCCAATTATTATTATTAACAGTTTATTTCTGTTTGTTCTCCATTACTATTGAGTATTTGCCTCCAGCTTCACATATCCGCTGCACTATACCACTAAGTCATTTTTATTGATCTGTGTGCTTTAGCGTTAGTAACGTCTGTATTGCTGCCATGGTTCCTTCACTGATGTGATTGTTATCTAAGCTTATAGTTGTAAGTACCATGTCAGATGACAGACATTCTTTGATCGCTTTCCCCCCTTCCTCTCCAATGTCATTGCCATCCAGGTCAATAGTGACTAGGGACTGGTTCACTTGTATGACTTCCGCCACCAGCCTGGCTCCATTGTCACCAAGTCCATTCTCATCCAAAAGGAGGTGGGTGAGGTTAGTGTTTGTTTTCAGTGAATCGAACAGTTCGTGCCAGGCAGCACCAGCCTGTACAGTGATATGGGCCAGGCCAAGGTTTTTTAGGAATGGGTTCAGCCTCAGATAATCCGCTATGCTTCTAAGTGCTTCATTGCTCATGTGATTTCCTCCAACGTCCAGTTCTGACAGCTGAACGAGTGGCATGTTATATGACAAGGTGGTGTCTGTCTGTCGCTGTGTGATTAGAATCTCCGACAGGCCATGCAGAAGAGTCTTTATACCTTTATCTCCTAACTGGTTTCCATATAGTCTGCAGAGGAATAGCAAATTATTTCATTGTTATTTGTTACTGTGTAAGATCACCCTTTTGGGGCAAAACATTGGAAAAATCTGAGATTTCATTTAACATGATATTGTAATTTAATTTTTCCAGTATATTTCACCACTCTATATTTCTAACACGAACATGCTTGAAAAGGCACAAACCTAAACACTACCATTCTTTAGCATTCATGCTTTGCAGTGACATTTTACTGGCATTTTGTACAAATTTGACATGCATTTAAATAAACACTTTGGAGCATGTGTGCTACAATGCATACAAATCTGCATCAAAATATGTTACAAAAATTGTCACTGTAATGTAAAAATGCAGACCTGCAAACAGACAAAAATGTAAATGGACCCCTATGTACCATGAACTTCTTCTTTTTTGATATTTTTTAAATCTGCCCACTGCTTCAGCATTAGCCACTCTTTAGCTGTAATAATTGTTTTTTTCAACCAGCAATATCTTTTTGACCTTTTTTAATCAGTGAGGTGTTTAAGCTGATAAACTCTCAACATCAAATTTTTTGGGGGTAGGGGGTTGTTGCAGAGCATTACGGTTACCAAAGATAATGACTTAACTGCTTCAGGGGCGCAGTATGTATATAAACGGGGGCAATGTGAAGCAGTTGTATCAAGATTACAGTAATCATTTATGTGGACTACAGTCTCTGCAGCTTGAAATTTTGTATTGAGCTGTGATGGGAATGCTTCTGGCTCAGCCCAGTTAGGCTGCCAAACCAGCTGCTGACAAGCCAGAAGCTTTCTCAACACAGCTCAATACAAATATCAAGCTGCGGAGATTGTAGTCCACATACATGATTTCTTTCACTAAACCCTGATGAAGAAGGTGTTTCTGGACCCCCAAAACGTGTTGGCTATTCTACTTGATTGTCCCCTGACCCTAGTGGAAAAAAGTTGTATCTGGACTATTTTAATTGGTGTGAGACTTCAATTCCTACATCTACTGTGTTCGCTGTTAAACCAAGAATACTGTGGAGACCCTTAGGCCAGTGATACTCAACCACCATTTGGATGATAAAAACAGAATAATCTCACAGGTCCAGCGCTCTCTTTCTACTTCCCAAAGTTACTATTAAGACAGTGAAGGGTGATTGGGAAAGCTCCATATTACTCACAGTAGACTCTGTATACAAGGTTTTTCTCTCAGCAGCTGAATGAGGCTCTCCGCTCCCTCTGGACCAATCTCGTTCAGGTTTAGGTTGATGCTTTCCACCTCTGACTTGCTGACTATTATAGCTGGTGTGAGGTGCTGAAGCAGTGTGTCTGTCATGCCAGTGTTTCTGAGGACCAGCTGATCTACTTCATCACACTCCTGAAGAACCGTAATGAGGTCTGTGATCTGTAAAAGCACAATTCTGTCACAGAGTACTCTTCCAATAATTCAGCATGAACACAATACTGTATAGTTTTTACCACCAAATTGATATTCCTTGTCTCTGTACTTCCCTAGTTTATGTTCCTTCTTATTACAGTGGTTATTGTGAAGACAGACTGTATAGCACTTCAATGGAAAAAGAGAATCTACAAAGCAGAGGAGGGTAAGAATTTTCTTTAAACTTTGCTGAAATTGTTTCAATGTACACTGAGTGGCCAGATTATTATGACCACCCCATCAGTACTTCGTTGGGTGTATAGCTCGCCTAGAAATGTTTTTGAATTACTGAAAGTGGCATTCCACTTTTAAGGGTTAGCTCACCTTTTAATGCCTCTAACTCACAGAACCCTGAGCTCAGCCGCTTCTACAAGAGAAAGAAGACTGCCCATGTCCAGTTAGGCAAGCTGAGAGTGCTCATTCAGGAGGAGCTGGGGCCATGCATCCAATAGTCAGTCCATTCTGCCATGTAGTCGGGATGCAGAGGGGGAGCCCACTGGAGCCGCATTAAGAAAAGCAAGCATAATTTTTAAAAATGGAAGCCAGCATTTTATTATATATTGTAAGCTGTAATGTTAATGGGGGGGGGGGGAAACAACCCTGAACAGTGAACTAACCCCTTAAAGCTGCAGGTATGAATATTTATATATACTGACATTGGGCCAAACAGGAGCAAATTAAGTGTGTGTATATGTATGTGTGTGTGTATATATATATAAAATATATATGATCCTGTAAGTGCCGGTGCAGATCTGGGCAAACCGGGATGCACACAGCGATTGCTGCGCAACCCCATTAATTTCAATAGGGTACATCCATGCGGCAGTCACAGAAAAAAGGTACATGTACTCTTTCGGTGACACATGATGTGCAGCTGTTTTAGCGATCCCCCAGTGCGACTAGGGTGCCGTTAGAAAATAATGGAACCGCCAGCACGATCATCGGTGGTGCACGATTGCCGCGCGGTCACGGATCACCCAGGTGTGAACCTGGCCTAAAACACTGTAGTTGCCACAGCTGCTACAGTGACCACTCGCTCGGCCCCGCAGCCATTCAGCGAATGCCTAGTATTTTTTTCTCTGCCCCTCGTCCAATCAGGGAATGCCTAGTTTTCATTCTGTCTTAACAGCAGAGGGGAAGTCGCACAGCACATCGACTACAAATGACCCGGAAGATTGCTGTAATGCACTGCAGTAACCATGGCTACTGCAATGCTTGAACTGCAGCACCTTTAAGCAGTGCATTTTGAGAATTAATGGGATTTGAACATTTTTGTAGAGGAAGAGGCAAGCGTGTC